ATAGGAATTTCTTAAATTTTAAGCATTTTTATAACGCTAAATTAACTAACATGCAGCTAGCCTACTTTAAGCCTAGGCTGGCATTAAGCTAGCAACGCTTTTAAGCCCTACCCTATAAAAAAAATTTTTACACTCCCTTAAATAAACTCCTTCCCCTTACCAGCCTTAATTAATAAAAGCTATACCCTTATTTTCTTATAATAATTAAGGCAGTTATGCTTATAATAATTAAGTTAATTATATATAAAATACTTAATTTTGCTTATTAAAACCGCTATAATATTAATATTTATTACTTTATTATTTTAAGATTAAGTATTATCCTTCCTTATTATAACGCTAAAAACGCCTTTATATTATTATAAAGCAAAGCAAAAAGCCTTAAATATATTTAACCACTCCTTATAATTAAGCTAGGCTCTTGCTATAAAGATTAAGCTATTAGCTATTAATAATATTTTATATTTATTTAATTAATTTTAAGCCTCCGCTATATAAGCTAATTAATTAAATTAAGCAAGAAATTCTGCTATTTCTTTTTTATAGCGCTGTTATAATGTAATTAAGCTAAGCTTAATATGCCTTTGCTTAAAAAGGTCCCTAAGTATAAAGTAAACCTTTTCCAAAAAGCTTTTTAGCTGCCCTTTAAATATCTTTATAAAACTAATATAAGGTAGAAATTAATTGTGAAAAGTTCCCAGCTAACTAAATATATAAAAGAATTAAGCCCCTTTAGTATTAATTACCTTCCTATTTACTATAAACTTAGCCCTTATCTTTACCAGCTAAGTTACTAAGTATTCTTAAGATAAAAGTTCCTTAAAATAAGGAAGGACTTAACGGGCTGCTATTATTCTTTCCAGATCTTATTATACTAGGTTTTATATAATTATACTATAAATTTATAATATAAGAGGACTTTAAATATATATTATAAGCTAGCCTTAAGTTATTTGCCGTAAAGTATTTAAATGGAGTTTATATTTAGAGTATAAAGGAAAAGGTTTGCTTCCCATTTATATCCATGCCAATGCCTATTCTTATAAGGCCAAAGCCTATTAACTAATTACAATGGGCAAAGCTTAAATTATAACAAAGGAGTAAATTTTTTAATAAAATAAATAATATTTATTTTTTAAATAAAAGTTTTTATAATATTAATTATTAAGTTTATTAAATTAATTTATTTATTATAAATTTTATAATTTTATTATATTATATTAATTATAAATATATAAATTATAAATATATAAATTTTAAGTATATTAATTATTATTATAATTTTATTGCTGGCAAATAAACCGCTTAGCTAAAAGATAAGTAATTTCCAATCGCCATTAAAAATACCCAGCAATATATAAGCCCTAGTTATTACAATTATAAGTATATTAATTATAAGTATTGTGATGGGCTTGGGCTATTGCCCAAGCCTTATATAGTGTGGCTAGATAATTCAAGGGAGCTTGGATTATTACGTACCTTTTGGCTTAGATAGCTATAAGGTTGCTAGCAAAACTAGCTTATGGAAGAAGGCGTTAGCCAGCCTGCAGCCCCTTTGGGGCCAGCCCATAATAAATAATCCAAGCTTTAGGGTTGAGAGTTTGAGTTATGGTCTTACCCAATCATGAAGAAGATCTCTGGCTTGAAAAGGCGATGTCGCGGGTGAGCCTTGGGGGTAATTGTACTACTATATTAAGCCGGAGGAGGGGGCTATGTGATGGGCTTGGGCTATTGCCCAAGCCTTATATAGTGTGGCTAGATAATCCAAGGGAGCTTGGATTATTACGTACTTTTTGGCTTAGATAGCTATAAGGTTGCTAGCAAAACTAGCTTATGGAAGAAGGCGCTAGCCAGCCTGCAGCCCCTTTGGGGCCAGCCCATAACAAGTATATTATAATAAGTTAAATCAAGCTTAAATATTATTAAGTATATTTTTAAAGGATTGAAAATTATAAGTTTTTTGGCTAAATGATTTATTTGCTAGCAGTAATAGATTTATCTCATGTTTTATATTAGTTTTAAGTGTGTTAGTATGGGTGTGTTGGTTGTGGGTGTGTTGGTTGTGTTTGTCTTGGGCGTGGGTGTGTTAGGTGTGGGTATGTTAGTTATAAGTGTAAAGGTGTGTAATACATCTATATACCATCCGTTTCTTTCTGTACAAATATCCGTTCTCAAAGACAATGACTGTTTATGTGAGGCACAACATATGAGAGTTGGCCGTCCACGTTGGGTCCTTTGCACCATGGTGTACCTGCGACCTGGGACAACAGACACACGAGGCATTCCACAAGAATACGCGACTCGGTGTTGTGGACTTGCTAGCAGCCTTGCTCATGGCCTAGAGGTCTTCTCCGTGGGAGTACGTTTCGTCGGACCAACTCGTAATAAATTGCATTCGCCTTCCTGTGTCTATGAACGGGCTGTAGGAACGCCTGGCGTCCTTTGCCCCTCAAGGCAAAGGAAAAGTGCATCGGCAAAGCTTCCAGAACACCGCCTAGAAAGCGGGTCCAAACCTTCGGCCGAATGCTCCTCCCGGCACGCCAAGAAGCAGCGGAAGCGGTCGAATCCATGTAGATACTTTGGAGTCTGATTGATGTTCCAAGCCTAGGAGCCGCTTCTTAGCAGAACATCCCAAGAGACTGCCACATGTCTGCGTGGGGCGCCTGAGCCTCTCCTGGACAAGAATTCCCAAGAGCAACACGCAGCTAGGGTCAAGCCAGCTACATATCTAGGCAGCCTCTGTAGATGTACACAATCTTCAAGTACCTCGAGGTCCGGTAGGCATCCGTGGACACTCTCCTAGTACATCTAGTACACCGACTCAAGAAGGAAACCCGAATGAGGGAGGCTCAAAGCGGGAGGGGACACTGAATCTCCTAATATGATACATGTAGAAGTTTGTGCCTCGCCTGCGAGAGACAGTATCCATTGGCCCAACCACAATAGCGCGCATGTCAAGACCGCCCCGGAACGTTGAAAGCAAAAGCCAACTCAGCGAGTTGAGATTATTGGCTACGACGTAATCACTGGTCAACGACAAGTAGCCTGCGATTATGCCTCAACCAGTCTCTGAGAGAAACAAAAGCCATCGTAACAGCTCCCAGCCCGCGAGGTTCGGGCATATGGGGCAACAAAGCAAGGTGGGCGTCGACGGCTTCGAGCACTCGATGTGACGAGGCCGAGCAGGTGGTGGCTGGTGAGGGACGGGTTTTTCTTAGCGAGTTGGATTGTAATCTTACTTCACGCCGTAGTCTAACCGTAGCCTACTTAGGTAGCTTGGAGGCTGTCAACGGCAGCTGGACGGCCTGGGTATCAGCCCGAGTCAGCACCCGGGGTGGATGGTTTGGACTCCACATGGCCGAGCACCAGGGGGGCCCCTCGCTCAAACCCTCAACATGCAGTTACCAGCCACCGTTTAGTGTCTGAGGCTCCTGCGGGAGTTGGTGCCGGGCCGGACCTAGGCCCAAGATTTGCTGGTCCGGCGAGAGAGCTACCTGGAGGAGACATGTGCCAGCTGCGCAAAGCAGCCGCCAGTCTCGACAGTGACAGTCATCAGTCTATGTTGCTGCAGCTCAAACTCAGACAGCCGGTGGATTGTGGGTGCAACCCTCACGTGTCCCGTGTCCCGTGTCCCGTGTCCCGTGTCCCGTGTCCCGTGTCCAGAAGCTGACGACGGGTGACAAAAGGATGCTAAGGGAGAAAGGGAAGCTACCCGTGGGCAGGGATCTTGATTGAGTTTCGGAGAGCTCACAGATGCCCTGTCAGAACCAAGTGTCGTCATCCACGCTGCCCCATCGTCTGTTGCTGGGGTGCTGGTCTCATGCACCTTACAAACGTAGGTACATGTAGCTTCTCCATCCAGGTAGGCACCTGGTATCCTCTTTGATCCTCAGCTCCCACCTGAGTTCAGCCCGTTGCCAACCTTTCAGCCACCCACTCTTGCTGCCTGTGAGGCCGTTGCAGCAGGGGTAGACGAAGATGGCCACAGGTGAGTGAAGATGGACGGGGAAGGAGTTGCAGTCACAGTCACACCTGGAAAGCACCTGCAACCTTGCTGGAACTCGCTCGGCAAGGCAGTCAGTCAGTACACCAGTCTAATCCCTTGCTTTCTGGCCCAAGGCCTTGCCTCTTTATCTACCTACCTAGGTACCTCCTACGTAGTACCTAGGTAGGTGTACCCTTTGCTGTTAGCTCCTTCCTGTGGTGGTGCAGTGCAGTCTGCAAGAGACACCACCACCCGGGCAGCACATCCTGGTCCTCGTCCTTGCAAATGCACACTGCCCCAGACCCTGTCCACGGCCTCGGACTTCCCTCTCCCTCTGTCACGGTCTTCCTTTCTTGTCAACCTCCCCCATTTTCAATAGAATTCCCCGTACCTTGCTTGATACCTTGCTAGTCTCTCCGTATCTCGTATCCCGCCCATGTTGATTGTTTTCCCCCTGTTGGGTAGCTTCACCACTCCCTCAGGCCCTGACCGGTCCAGTCTGTCGGCCTGGTCTCAGTCTCAGTCTCCATCTGCATCTGCATCTCTACTGCCATGCGACAGGCCGCGCTTGAGGATCCCCGACCCGATCGCATCACCTGAAGACGCGGCCCTACGGACAGACATGCACGCCTGGTAGCAGGCCACTCATCGCTCGTTCGCCCTGCCGCAACCGCTGGCCAGATATCCTGCATACAACTCTCACCACGGCGCTAATCGCAACGGATTTCCTGTGCCGCATTGGCTGCTATGGCCAGCTGCATGAGCTGTCCGTGACTGGCACCTAGACACACATAAGTTCCGGCTAGCTCGCCGGGTACTACGATCATCCTTTTTTTCCTTCTTCTGATCTCCCTCCCACGGCCGCCCACTGGTCATGGCTAGGGCCCAATCAGCTCAAAAGAGTGCAATGCCTGCACCGTACTGGGGTGACCTTCCCGGTCCAAACGCCCCAGCCCGCCCCGGTGCTCGCAGCTCCTCTGACGACTACGCCTCGAGACCGCTGCAACCTCAGGCCATGGATCTCGCGCCTGGTGTAGCGCCACAGTCCAGGTCCAACAGGGCTTCTGTCCAGACCACCAACACCAACGCCGACGCCCAGACCGACTCTACCTTGAGCCCCTACGCCTCCCCCACACGATCGAGCTTCCAAGGTTATGCTCTGGCTCCCAGGCCTCCTTCGCTCCCCTACGGACAGGGCCAGTATCCTCCCGACGTCTTGGAGAAGCGCCGCCGACGTGCGAGCAAGAACAAAGAAGAGGACCGCGAGTACTCACACTCCGACGCCCGTACATCAGCGCTCCCGCCTGCGCCAGATGTGCCTAGGGCGTCCTCTTTAAACTACAGGCATCCTTATGGGAACGGCGGGCTACCTTACACCTACACCAAGGCTGCTGCCGAAGAGCCCGATCTCCCTCTGAGTCCAGGCGTCATGGACCCGGACTACTACCATCCGGCGTCGGCAGACCGACCAACGCACTCCGACACAGTTGCAGGCTCAAGCTCGAACCGCCGGGTGAGCAGCGACAGCGCGGCGACTACAAGGAATGGCAGTACGAGGGACCCCGTCAATGGGCACCGAAAATCATCCTTGGGGAACGAGATGGACCGCCGTATGATGGCCAACGCCCGATCGCCTCTGCAGAAGCTTGAGCTCACGCTCGACAATATCACCAAGGAGGAAAAGAGAGCGCGAGTCGCGGCCGCCGAGCAACGCGCGCGGACGCGAGCATCCCGGGACAGCAGAGATCTTGGGCAGCAACCCGCGGTCCGCTTTAAGGAGGGAGAGGCTGAGGCTGAGCCCGAACTCGCCAGACCTCAGGTCTTGCCTGATACAGTGCCGGTCCAGCCCGGCATTGCGCCTCAAAGTGCGGGCAAGGAGATGCCAAAGCGACATGCATCGCAGGCAGCGAAGACTGCGGCGCCAAAGAAACCTGTCACACGATTCGCGCAAGATACTGGTATGCCGCAAAGGAACCTGAGCTTCCGTGAGCGAGCGGCTCGGGACGAGATCAACTTGCCGAATAGCAACGACCGTAATAATTCTCCCACGACCACGCCGACGAGCGGCTACTCGCTGGCTCGGAGCGGGAGCAACAAGTTGAAAAAGGAGCCCCCAAGCGACGCTGCTTACCAGCGGCGGGGCGACAATGAGAAAAAATCAGGACACGGTCCTCATCGTGGGACGACCCAACCTCCAGGTGAGGGGCTGGGTTTGGCGGCTGCTCCCGTACCAGCCGGATCCACATCGCCGAGTAAAACGGCCGGAAGGTCAGTGCGCACCAAGGTTCCACCCCTGAATACGGCCGTGGAACCCCGGCGACCCTCCGGCCGAAATGATATTGACCACCCGGATTCACCATTCACCCCTGGCAAGGCCACGAATACTCCTAGGCAAAGGAGAAATTCCACGTCAATCACCTTTGCAGATGACGTACGTCAAAATGAGGCACCAAAAACAGCAACCAATAGTGGAGCGATGGCCCGGACTGCTGCTGCCGGAGGTACAGCGGCAGCAATCGCAAAAGGGCACCAGCACGATGGCCATGCGAGCGATGATGATGCATCTCTCGATGACGATCATCGCCTTGGCGAATTCTTTCACCGCCGTGAATACAAGCCAGGGCATGGCATGTACAATCCACCAAAATTTCTCGGGGAGTGGAAGAAAGGAACGATCGGGACCCTATCCGGGACAATGCTCGATCTGGGCGATGAAACCACACCGAAAGTGGATCAGAGCCAGACGTGGTGGGAGACACCTCCGTCACAAAGGCGAGGCAGTATCTCAACGCGACCCCGGAAGGCGGAAGCTTTCGACGGGGAATACGATGAAACCAACGGTATGCACACTCCTAGTGATCCGACGACTGTCTTTCAAGAAATATACACAGGCCCTCATGGACTCCGTCAGTCGTGGGTTGCTTACTACGACGACGCGGCACCTCGCGGGCGCGAGTTTCTTGGTCATCAAGCGACGACCGACAAGCGCAAAGCGAGGCGTCAGAGCCGTCTGTATTCCATCGGACGGCCTCTGGTGGACTCCAGCGAAGACCTAGAGCCGACATCCCCTCCAACACTGTGTACCTCCTTGCTGTGCTTTTCATCGCCCCGCCCAAGACAAGTTCCCGAGAAGTCATTGCTAACCCGAGCGGCGCGGATGGTTATCCGTGTACCCAAATTTTTAGCCCCAACAAGATTCAAGCCTCCACTATTTCTGAAATGCGGCCCGCTACTGAGGTACTGTGGAATACGAACAGAGCGCGTCTCAAGCCGATCAGCTCGCAGTGGCCCAGATGTCGAAAGGGAGTTCTGGAGAGGGACGGTGATGATTGTCACCCAGGACCAAGATTCGTCTTACGACATTGCCCCCACTCTGAGACTGTTTGTACAGCCGATCGAGCTGCTACCCCCTCCGCCGTCCGAAGTCCGTGGAGAAATCCCGCCTGAGTTCGTGGATCCAATCGCAGGGCATCCGAAGTTAGGCCGTAAGGGGGAAACGTTGTATGTTCGACCAGTCGACCATCTCGATGAATCCAAGGATCATTCCCAGGATGAGACTGATCGGGGTCTGTTCGAGAAGACACGCAGTCCTCCTGACGTTACCCCCACTGACGGATCGACCGACGCGCCAGGCTCCTTCGCAGCCCGCCGGAAGAGAACACCCGTTGATGGAGAAAAGGTGGGCAAGTACAAAGATGTGCGCGGGTACCGGCTGCATGCCGAACGTGGCTATACTTTCTGGCGCTTCAGCGTCGAGGTCGAGCTGCGGGACAAGGAGCAGCGAATCGCGTACCGCATTAACCGCGGCCCTGCCACCGGCTTCTGGATTCCAGCCAAGAACCAGTCCATGAACATCATGTTCCACAGCTGCAACGGCTTCTCGGTCTCCGTGACCCCAGATGACCTCAGCGGACCAGATCCTCTATGGCGCGATGTACTCAACAACCATCAAAGCCGCCCGTTTCATGTCATGCTCGGTGGTGGCGATCAGCTGTATTGCGACGCTGTGATGAGAAAGACAGAACTCTTCCAAGACTGGTTGATGATCCGCAATCCGCTTCACAAGCACAATGCGCCTTTTACCCCGGATATGCAGGATGAGCTTGAGGGATTCTACCTGGAGCGTTATTGCACGTGGTTCTCTCAAGGTCTGTTTGGCCTGGCCAACTCGCAGATTCCCATGGTCAACATGTATGATGATCATGATATCATCGACGGATTCGGCAGTTACCCACATCACTTCATGAGCTCACCAGTGTTTTCTGGCCTCGGTAACATTGCGTTCAAGTACTATATGCTTTTCCAGCACCAGAGCATCGTCGACGAGACCGAGGAGACGGAGCCAAGTTGGGCCATTGGTGTGAGGCCAGGCCCATATATCCAAGAGCAGAGCCGCAGCGTCTTCCTGCGGCTGGGGGCCAAGATTGCGCTATTGGCAGTAGACTGTCGGACTGAGAGGATGCGGGATCAGGTTGTGCGCGAGGATACTTGGGACAAGCTGATGGATCGCTGCTACAATGAGATCGTCAAGGGCAAGACGGAACACCTGCTCGTCCTGCTGGGAGTGCCAATCGCTTATCCGCGGCTAGTGTGGCTCGAGAATATGTACGTAGGCCCCTCCCTTGAATACCGCTGGTGCTCTCCGCTAACCCCCTCTCTAGCTTGACCTCCCGTCTGCTGGATCCCATCAAGGCTCTTGGCAAGACTGGACTTTTCGGTAATGTATTCAATAAGTTTGACGGTGGCGTCGAGGTCTTGGACGACTTGGACGACCACTGGACCGCAAAGAACCACAAGGATGAGCGCAAGATCATCATAGAGGACTTGCAGGACCTTGCCGCGGACAGATCGGTTCGCATTACGATTCTCGGGTATGCCGACGACCCTTGCGGTCATTTTGGGTTGTAAACTTTGACTGACTTCTTCTATTCAGCGGTGACGTCCACTTGGCTGCGATCGGGCAGTTCTACTCCAACCCGAAGCTTGAGCTGGCCAAGCACAAGGATTTTCGCTACATGCCAAATGTCATCTCTTCCGCTATAGTCAATACACCGCCGCCAGACCTGATGGCAGACGTCCTCAACAAGCGCAACAAGGTGCACCATCTCGACAAGGACACCGACGAGGACATGATCCCGATGTTTGCCCATGGGGTTGAAGGCAAGCCAAGAAACAACAAGAGGCTTCTCCCTCATCGCAACTGGTGTTCTATCCGGGAGTACACCCCAGGGCAAACTCCGCCATCGACACCGCCTGAATATGCGTACGACGCAGAGTCCCCCGCCGACTCCGTAGTCCGCCGAGACACTGGGTTGTCCAATCAAGGAGTGACTCGGCGGCTTTCTAAGAAAAACCGTGGGCCTGCCCACCGTGCCGATGTAATCGACTCGCGGCCGCCCATTTCCGGATCAGGCGGGGCTGGAATTTTCAGGTCGTTGTCTTCGCGTGGTCGTCGGTCCACACCGGACGTGCCCGCCGGGGACAAGCGTCCAGGCACGAAGAAGAGGACTCTGTCGCTGACGCGTGGGGACTTCGGCGGTATCTTCCGTCGCAGAAGCGAGTCCCGAAACCGCTCACAGCCGGATGATGGCGGCATCAACGGAACGTGGGGCGAGAGCGATCCCGAAGTCGTCGCTCGGGACCGAAATCAGGGCGACGAGGGATACGACTTTGATTACGAGGACAACACCTATGACCAGCGGAACAGAGGCCACGGATTCCTGGGCAGCATCGGTCTTAGGGGAGGCGGCGGCCCGGGGGGTGGAGGCTCTTATGACGAATTCTCAGATGGCGACGACTCATACTTCACTACGCGCGCGCCTCAAAACACGCGTGCAAGCCAACCTGGGGTCAATAAGGCGGCGCGGGTCCTTGGGACCGAGGCACTGAATGCTTCGCGTCGTCATGGAAGTCAACACCAGCCTCGTCAGCCGCAGCAGCCGCAGCAGCAAGGTGTCGAGCGGCCGTTCGGGGTGACGACCAAGATATCGGGTCCGGGCCAGGATGATGATGATGATGATGATGATGATGAGCACTTTCAGCCCAAGCCGTTCCAGCGCACGCCCACGGGCTTGTCTGCCAAGCAGGTGCGCAAGAGGGCCAAGTCCTTCGACGTCAACATAGAGGGCGGACTTGACATTTGCCTGAACGTGGAGGTCTCGGCGAAAGACCCCGCGGGCATCACGGTTCCGTACCGCCTATTAGTGCCCAGGCTCTGGTACGATGCGAGCGACGGCGATGAGGTGGAGATGCCGGAACGCGGGAGAGGCAAGAGCAGAGACGAACAGCCTGGGCCGATCAAGCGATTCTTTAGTCTGAGTCGTGCGAGAGGCACGAGTGTCAAGCGAGGTGGGAGTGCGCAGCCAGGCCGACAGAGGCGAGAGGCCGGTGATGACCACCAGCCTGTGGTGAGTGGTCCGGCCCCCGGGACCGCGATATAATTGTGGCTGGAGGAGGTTGGAAAGATGCTGAAAAGACGCTGGAAACCTTTAAAGATACAAAGGGCTATAGTTCGGCAGGCGCACTTTTGATGAGCACAAGAGACGGGGAAACGAGCGCCGGCCCTGACGACGATCACGACTTTTCGAGAAAGGAAAGGCCAAAACCTGTTACGACCATCATGAGTATGAAGCAAAGAATTGCATGATATACCTTCTGTGGCCCTGACGGCAATTGCCTCTTGGATTTTGCATTCAAGCATAGCAAAGCAAAGCAAAGCAAAGCAAAGCAAAGCAAAGCAAAGCATAGCATTCCGAAACAAGAGCAAGGCTGCATTACCTTTTGGATTGTGCCATTGTTAATTAGGTGCCTACCTTGGATACTTATGAAGACACTCCTAGAAATCAGAGCATTGTAAAGGCTTCCCGGAGCACGCTTGAGCCGTTGCGCTGCCAGTGGGTCTGCACCCGATACCGCGAGGGGGACATGGTCATTTCTAATTAAGCTCGCAAGTGCCATCTTATGTTTGCGCGTCTTCTGAGACGGTCTGTCCCTTTCACGAGACACATGCCCAAGGCAAGTTTCCACGGCTCGCCTTGAAATTTGTAGGAACATAGAACAGCTCGGAGGACTAAGAGTCTTACAGGTCAGCTACATGTACTCTCGAGAGCGTGGGGGGTGGGGGAATGGGACAGGCTAAAACTTACCGGTCCTTGCTCAGGGATGCGCGCCGACATGTCTTGGTCACCATGACTCCTGAGAGCCGGACGACACATCGGCTTCTCTTTGATTTCTGGGTTTGCTTGGTATCATGATAGGCGCCGGCTGATGGGCAGGATGCCCACCTCGAGCCTCAGAAGCCCGAGTCCCAAACCTATGCCGTGTTTTTTTCCCGCCACTGAGCCTTTGCCACACCCTACAGCCAGCCGCCTACAGCCAGCCAGCATCGCTTCCACGGCTGCTGGGCTCCCCCGGGGCGATGTGGAAGCCGCTCGAACGCCTCTTCCCCTAGATGTCGTCCTTGTCGTCCCTCGCGTCGCGGTCCCGGTCCCGTCCTGCCCCGGGGCTCCTACTCCGGCTGCGGTTGCGCCGCCCTCCCCCGCCTCCGCCTCCTCCGACGCGCCCGCCCGCGCCGCCGCGGTTGTTCTTGCCGCCGGCGTTGGGAGGGGGCCGCACGAAGGCGAAGTCGACCTGGATGGTCTGGTCGAGCAGCTTGGTCTGGTGGGCGCCGTCGATGGCGGCGCGGGCCTCGGCGAGCGTGGGGTATTCGATCAGCGCGTAGCCCTGTTGGTACACGCGAAAGGTGTCGGTCACTGGTCAGCCCTCCTGTTTGCTATACACGCAATTGAGAGGAAATAGAGGGCACCGTACCTTGACGTAGCCGCTCCGGCGGTCGAGGTTGAGGTGCAGGTTCTTGATCTCGCCGTACTCGCCAAAGGTGTCGTGGATTGTCTCCTCGTCCACCTCCTCGTGCAGGTTTGTCACGACGATGATCCAGCCCTCTATGGAGCGCACGGCGGTGGCCTTGGAGTGCGTCACCATGTCGTCGACCTTTGCCTGGGCGGGCTGGGGCGAGCCGGGCTCGTCGACATCCATCTCCACGTCGGCCATGATTGCTTCCCTGCCTTGCCTTGCTTGCGTGCGGGAGGTCTGGTGGAGTTCGAGTTCGAGGTCAAATATTCGAATTGGTGAGTGTGTTGGTTGGGTCGGCGGAGGGATGGAGGGCTTGGAGAATGGGAGGAAGAAGTGATGTGCGAAGTCACTAGCAGCGAGGAAGGCTGAAGCTTGTGAGCCGCGGTGCACTAACAAATTCCTGGTGGTGCTTCTTCCACAGCTCCGCTGTAGAGCACATCCCAGTCAGACTAGGTGGGGGCCATAAAGTCGAAGCAGCTTCTACAGTACAAAATCACATGGACTCAAACAGACGAATCAAGACTTCCATGCGGTTGCATGTGCTCAGGGAAGACATGTCGGGTCCGTCATCACTTTCACAGACACAGACACAGACACACACATATTCAGCAAAACCCCAAGGGTCAAGACAAGGTCTGCATGTGCAGTCTGGTGAGCACATACAACAAACAAGCCTGCGAGTCACTGGGAAGTCTGAGGTGCTTTTGGAGTGGCTCTTGGCAGCGAAGACATGGATAGTATGAACAACCAATTCACTTGTGCACACTGCACCGAGTCGCTCTCCTTGGATATGCTTTCCATGACTACCACCGCCATCTTGGGTCAATCTGGCATGACCGTCGTCCGCAGAAGAATGAAGACGAGAAAGACCCCCTTTCCCAAAGCACTTCTCATCCTTGTCTCCTCCGCTGCAGTTCTCTATGCTCTCTCCTTGAAGCGCATCCACAATGGTTCAAGCGTGATGACGAAGGTGTCCCTCATTCCGTGTTCAAACGCTGCGCCCGCATCCTTCGCACTCGGTCCAGCGAAGTCGAAGTCGAACCTCAGGGCCAGCCTCGTGAGGAAGCTCCTCATCTCCCACATGGCCAGGTTTTTCCCCGGGCAGGCAAACTGCCCCACCTGAAACGGGAAGAACATTTCCATCTCCCCGGGCCCAATCGTGTAGCTCTTGCCCTGCTCCGTTGTGCCTCGAGTGCCAGACCCCTCGGTCGCCAGTTTGTCGGCCGTCACACCAAGCCAGCGGTCGGGGAGGAAAGCCTCGGGATCAGGGAAATAGTGTGGGTCGCGGTGTACCCAATATGGCGGCACGTAGACATCAACGTCTCCGGGTATGAAGAGGTCCTCGGTCTTGCCATTCTTGTCAACAAGAGGGATGGTCAGCCCCTCCGGAGGTGTGACCCGAGGGTTTCCCGAGGGCACGGCTGGTCTGAGGCGCAGTGTCTCGTTGATGATCGCATCGAGCATTGGGATAGCAGAGAGGTTCTTGGACAGCACATGGTAGCTGAATGTCTCCGGACCGTCTGGAAAGACCTGGGACACCTCGGACTGTAGGCGTGTGTAGAAGCTCGGGTTGCGGGCCAGGTAGAACAGCGCGCTGGTGAGCGTGTTCGAAGTGGTGTCGCTGAAGCAACTGCGTGTCAGCAGTGACTGATGTACAGTACCTAGGTGTCCTACCCCTCGAGTGAGATATCGGAATAAAACTCACGCGCCAGCCGTAGCAATGGTTCGGGCGTCTGAATTCAGCGCATTCCTTGTCTTGGGTGCATGCGGCGTCTTCTTCCTGTACTCGCGGAGTATCCAAGACACAATGTTGGACGGCATCTCCTTGTCATCCGGCTCGGTGCTGATCCTCTCATCCACCAGACTGCTGCAGTAGTCCCGGAACGGCCTTACTGCTCCGTCTGCGTAAGGTATGTTGGACGCCGCATTCATGACCCATGGGACCGGTTTGACATAAGCCACAAACTTCGCCTGCACTTTCATCGCCTTCACAGCCCAGTGTTCCGACCCACCGCTCGACACTTGGCCAAAGTCCTTCCCAAAGCCAACATTTCCCATTACATCCCACGCGAACAGTGAGACCCATCTTGTCATGTCAATGGCATCGTCTTCCGTCTCTGGTGAAGCAAGTCCATCCAGACAGTGCCCAACGGTCCTCTGCATGGCTTCATCGTACTTGGCAAGCGATTTGGTGCTCAGTGCCGTGTCCCAGGGCCGTCGGCGCCGCCGATGGTCTTCGATGTCTCGCGTCTCTATGAGTCCGAGGCGGTCGTTGTCCCAATCCTCAATCTGGTACAAGGTTGACTTGCGGCAAGCTGCGAGCGGCGCGATAGCTTCACCGCGGAAGATGGTGAGCTCCCTGGGCCCCGTCCGAACCACGTCACCGTATTTTGCCTGCATGGCTCCTAGCTCCAGGTGATATTGCCTCGCCAGGGAAGACTTCCAGACCGCATAGAACTTGGTGAGCCTAGCAGCCGCCGGGCCAGGGAACCTCCTCAGCCGATGGAAGAGGCCTCGATACAAAAGCATCGAGGCTAGAAAGCCTATCGTTAAGCAAGCCGTCTGCGTATATACCGTGAAGATGGCATCGTACACTGTAGCACCCGGGATTTTGATGGTGATGTAAAAGTAGACCAGCTCAAGCACGCCGAAGACACCTGCAAGGGGAATAGCATGCATGTCAATCTCAAAATTACGTGCGACCGCGTGCAGAGCGACGCCTAGGGCGACCGCAAGAAGCCGCGTGACCCGCATTCTGGAGAGCAGTGCATTCGACGTGTTTTGATGACTTGGCTCTCGATGCTTTCGTCTGTTTCCGCTGAGAAGGAGATCTGAGGCAGAGCACAGTTGTGAGACTCCGAGGAATCACAAGAGGGGAAGAGGGAGAAAGAGGGAGAAAGAGGGAGCGAATAGGCATAGGACAAGAAATGTAGTGCGAAGATGCGGAGTGGCCCAGAGAGGTCTGGCCGAAGTGGACCCATGCATCGCAGTCCCACCTCAGAGGATACATGGAGGTACAGGAGCATCCACTCCCCTGCAGATATGACCTCTGGCCGAGGCAAAGGTGAGGAGAGACGAATTATCCGGCACAGCTCACACGCCACCACACACTCTCTTTCACACACAGGGAGAATCAGCTGTGGGATAACCAGCCACAGACTATGGGATAATCTCCCATGGGATAACTCGGCATAGACAGTGGGATACCCAGCCATAGGATAATCTACCAGGGGACACCGGCTAGTCACAGGCAATTGGGCAACTGGAACACTTGAACAGTGGAACAGTGAAACATTCGAGATGCTGCCGCCTAAGCTATGCTGTCTGACCTAAAAATACGCGACGCCGATGCAATGCGGGTATATCCTGTGAAAACCATAACAGCCGTAGCAAAGACCAACCATAACAATAGTGACGTAAGTGCCTTCCATCAACGCCTCTAAACCTTTGAATTCAAGCCCTTCTAATCCTCCTGATACCCTCCAAGAGGTCGTACTGGTGATAAATGATGTCGTTCTTGGCACAGATCGCCTTGTCCAATGCGGTCCTCCTCTTCTCAAGTTTCTCCCAGATGTGGCGGTCGTAGCCTTTGTGCATTCCATTGCACTCTTCGGTTACGGCTGTGCGGCTAGCCTGCAGTTCCGCCAACTCGCTCTCGCTGGTCGAGATCAAGACGCGCATGTTTTCAAATAGATCGTATGCTGGCCGAATCGTGTTATCCTCATTGTCGGAGCCCTGACTGGACGCGACACTGGAGGCACGTGTGGTGGGTGCGGCGGGTGCAGCGCGTGCGGTGGGTGCAGCGCGTGTGGTGGGTGCAGCGCGTGTGGTGGGTGCAGCGCGTGTGGTGGGTGCAGCGCGTGTGGTGGGTGCAGCGCGTGTGGTGGGTGCAACGCGTGTGGTGGGTGCCGCAGTAGGTGCCGCAGTGCGAATGATCTGGATCGGACGAGGTCGACGGGTGGGACCCCGGCTGCCCGTGCTGGAGACCGAACCGACCGTTGACTCATTGTCGCGCAGCTTGCGATGAATGACGGTGTATTCGTGCTGCAGAGATTCGTAAGAGCCCTCGATCTTATCGCGCTGGGCCTTGATCTCTTCGTTTGCACGCTCAAGGGCCTCGATGTCCTTGCTAGCTTCGTCAAGCTGACCATAGGTGACCTCAAGCTTGGTCGTCAGGTTGTCCACGTGCTCCGATTGAGCCTTGATCTCTTTGTTCTTGCGCACAAGAATCTTAATGTCTTTGGTGGCCTCGCCAAGCTGACCACGAGTTTCCTCAAGCTCGGCCTCCAGGTTCTCTATCATCTCTGATTGAGCCTTGACCTCTTTGTTCTTGCGCACAAGGATCTTAATGTCTTTGGTGGCCTCGCCGAGCTGACCACGAGTTTCCTCAAGCTCGGCCTTCAGGTTCTCTATCATCTCCGATTGAGCCTGGACCTGTGTGTTGTCGTCGTGAAGGAGCTGGTTGTCCTTGATCGTATCTCCAAGTTGGCCACGGGTGGCCTCAAGCTCGGTTTGCAAATTCTTAATTTGATCCGAATGAGACTTGCGCGTCTTGCGCAGGGAGTCGTTCTGCTGATAAAGCTGGCCAACTTGCTGGCGCAGACGGCCATTCTCGCTCTTGAGTTGCTTGACCTCATTCTCAATACTGATGAAGTAGTGACCCGCCTCCTGGATCTGGGACTTCATGTCTTGGTTCTCCTTGCTGACAGCCTGGATCTGCTGGATCAGATCCTGGTTCTGCTCGCTCAGAACCTTCTTGTGCTCGTGTGCGAGATGGCATTCCTTAATTAGCTCATCACGCTCGGCTGTGAGGGCGTCGATGTGGACGTGTTGCGAGTTGGCGAGAGTGTTAGCCTCGTCGAGTCGCTTCTGCATGCGCTTGAGCTCTGTGAAGGAAGGTTAGCCTGTGTTGATGCGTCACGGGGGATGAACTTACTCTCTGCCTGGGTGCGCCTGCGAATATCATCGTCGGAATCAGAGCCAATAGCACTGTCCGACGAGGCCTTGCGGCAGGTGCCTCGGACTTCCTGCAGCTGGAGTTCGAGCCTAGCTTTCTCCTGGTGTGCCTTGTCCGCCTCACGCTCCATGGCCTCGTCGTGCTCCTGCAGCTCGGCGATTTCCTTGCGGAGCTGGTCCATGGAGACGAAAATTCGGGTTTCCTCCTGGGGAATATGAACAGCATTGACATCCTTGTGGCTGTTGGATGACTGCTGGTGGGATGAAGTGTCGGTATCATTGTCCTTCACGAAGACTGGGTTTCCGTCCTTGTCGAGCTGGCTGAACTTCAGAATGCCAGAGACGAAGTCGGCCAAAAGGTTACCGGGGACGGCGTAAAGCGACCAATTGGTAAAGGCGTCGACGTGCGCCTGCTCAATGATGGCAGGGTCGCTGGCGTGAGCCTGCTCGGTGGTGGCGGGGTCGCTGGCGTAAGCCTGCTCAGTGGTGGCGGACCCGCTGATGTGGACTTGCTCAGTGGTGGCGGGGTCGCTGGCGTAAGCCTGCTCAGTGGTGGCGGTCCCGCTGATGTGGACTTGCTCAGTGGTGGCGGGCTCACTGGCATAGGCCTGCTCAATGGTGGTGGGCTCGTGTGTGATAGGCGAGTTAGTGGTAGGTGCCATAGGCGGTGCATCTTCCTCGGGTGCACTTTGCTCGCAGAGATCAGGGGTGGTAAAGTCCCTGAGGAAGCGGCTCCAGGTGTCGCTGGAAGGCGAGGCGGTCTCGCAACGCGCCTGAAAGGCTGCGCGGCCACGTGTCTTTGGCACGAATGGCGGCGATGGACCGAAGACTGGGGTGTGAGCGAAGTTCTTTGGTGTGCCGAAGTCGCAGCTGGAAGGCGGATCTGAGGGCAGGAGGTCGGAGAGCAGGACTCTGGAGTTGACTGGCGCGGGTGCGATGCGCGGGGAGGGTGAGAAACCTGGGCCAGGGGAAGGAGAAACCTGGACCTGGGGTGGGTGCCATGGGGCGCTCGTAAGGCGCGACCGCGGCAGTGGGGTCAAACCCGACATTAGCAGGTGAGATGTAGGACATGCGGGAGATGTCAGACCAGACGGAGGCGACGGTGACCTCCTTGGGAGGACCAAAGGAAGTTGTGGTGCGGCCGACGGTGTCGTGAGAACCTGCGGATGTGGCAGGCTCGGTCGCGTTGTGACGCGTCTCGCGGTCAGCACGCGTGTCAGGAGCCATGTTTGGCAGTCGTGACTGAGTGTGGATTTGGTGGGTGCGTGATGAAATGGTTGATGATTTGATTGATTGATTGAACTGGACGAGCCAATTGATAGCAAAGAGCCGAATGCAAGCAAGAGAAGAGCGCAAGCGCGACGATGAGAAGTGAAGTTGGTGGATGGGTCTGCGGATGTTGCATTCGTTGTGGAGAAGGAGAAGGAGGGAAGGGAGAATCCGGGGGATGCCAAGGTCGCCTTTTGACTTGGGAAGGAAAGGGAAGACTGATCTGGCGGCACGCGCCTCAGCAGCGAATCAGCGCCCACCACCTGCAGGGCCATCAGGGTGCTTGTCTGGGCCCACAGCATTCTGGAACCTTGCCCGAAATGCATGTGGCGCTCGGGCCGTACATCTCGGCACCTTGCCTGATGTGCTCGGGAGACTTGCCGACTTGGCAGATGAGACTTGTGGGCCGGATCGCCATTCCTGTGATCCTGCAGCGGAACCACGATGCTGCACCCCGCAAAAAATACGGCAGGTAGTCCCGATTTTTCTCTTTCCTGTCGTTGTCGCGGCATATTCTGGAGAGGAGATTTGCGGCCGGTTGTCTGGTGTCTTGCAGCCTGGAGAGGGCACCAGGAGGGTACCTGATGACTCTGGCAGAATCGGCAAACGACATTCGTAACCGGCATAGTCTGGGCAGAAATCAGACCACGATTCACGGCGTCCACGTAAACAGACTGATTTTCACATGCGTCTCTGGCAGAAGGGACCCACATGTCGCGTCTGGAATGTGATCGAAGCTGGGAGGGCGGTGCCCAGTGTGAAGCGAAGGGACGAGAGCTGGGTGCTGGGCGCTGGGCGCTGGGCGCTGGGAGCTGGGTGCTGGGCGCTGGGTGCTGGAAGGTGGGAGGTGGGAAGTAGGAGATGAGAGCTTCAGGCGAGCAGGCAGATGAAGATGGGAGTATCTGTTCTTAGTAGTACTGGTAGTAGTATTGAGCAGTATCGTAATTTGAATATCATAAGGGCTCTCTCCCCTTCTGACGACATTGCCTCTCGTCCTTCCGTAGGCAGGTGTAGAGCTGTCATCGCGTGTCTGCCCTGAGCCATAAAAAGGAAAAGGCACGACGAGAGTCGCGGATGTCATCATGGCAGTTGGAGCGTGGTCCTCGTCTTCTCGTAATGGAACGCTGATTATCAGGAAGTCCTTGGGTCTTGTTGGCCGGGGCTCGTGATGATGAAAGCGAGCACCAGCTCCACGGAACAATTCGACAGTCGCTTCCGCGGCCGCGTCAGGATGGGATAGAGGAAAGTCGTGCTTGAAGCGTCGCGAAGACTGTAGAGGACTGAAGGCTCTAGGGACCTTCATCAGAGCTCTCGTTCAACCAATGACCACTGCTGCCCTGAAATACACATAGAGCTGCGATGAATGCCGGGCGACATCGATGATGGGCGGTGCTCCTGATGCCTCCTTGGATACGAGACATCATCGCATGTGATACATTGTAGCACGCCCTCATGCGCCAGAGTTGGAAAGCGCGACACGTAAAATGCCGGGGAGTATCTCTAGCAAGGCAGTCGTCAACGGTCCACAGGCACGCAGAAGCTTCTGCGGCCCTCTGACATGCTGGGCTTCTGGCCAGCCATCATACATCCAGCGTGTAGAGAACTGCTGGAGGTCTTCGCCTTACACTTATCGCCCCAACGTCTCAAGACAAGCTATCGCGTGAGTTCCGGCCTTGTCGACCTTCCATCGCGGTTCAACCACTCGATCGCCCATTGACACTGGACTGGGCGTCGACACGCGTACAGCCACCGGGCATCAAAGCCATGACTTCCGCGTCTTTAAGAGAGTAACGCGTCCAGATTCATGCGGTTAGTGTTGGAGCAAGCAACTGACGCAGCTAATCGGGATGTAGTAGTGACACGCCTCTGTACAAACCAGGCCGAATGGATCGCACAAAGCTTCACGCGAACACGTCTTCAGCGGATGTCGTGCCCCAGCGTCTGCGCCGCATGACGTCTGAGGCACAGCACTCGACAGCTCAGCCCCTGTCGTCCAAAAGTGAGACCCATGAGCGGCAGATCTGCAGTCTGGGGGCGGCCCTCGGGATCGCAAGCCACGACCAATTGTCATCGATCGCGAACCCGAGGATCCGACGGATACGGCTAGGCTGATCGTCGCGACGTTACATTCAAGATGCTTGTTCCGACGCCCGAAGGACAGCCCTGCATCCTCCCGGGCCTAGAACCCTTCTCGAAGCTCTCGCATTCGCACCCGCACAACACAGCCTTCGGTCGACTGCGGCGGAGTATGAACAAGGTGCTGTGTGAGTGTGGAGGTGGTCGGGAGGCAGTATCCTGTTGAAAGAAGAGTGAGGAATACATAAGAAGTTGCTTCTCGCCTCCGTTGTGTGTTGTGGCCTGTCTCCATCAACTCATATTCCCTTACTGGTTCCGAAGGTCGCCATTCAATCTGTCAAAGACACAGCAACCACTCCATCAGTCTCTCGCACCTCACGCTATAACAACATCTAAGCACAAGTCCTTCGACACACCTACCCACACAAAACACTACAGCCAACGTCCAAAATGCTCTTCATCGGCACCATCACCCGAATGATCGAGGGCGACAGATACAAGCACCACCACGCGCCCGCGGCCTATCCTGCCGTCGTTGGCGTTCCTATGCCACTGCAACACGCCCCCTGCAGCTGCCGCGGCGACCGCTTCTGCTCAGCATGCTCCCCTCAGAGCCACCACGTCGGCGGCGTGGTCCCGATGGTCGCCGCCGCCGCGCCCGTCCTGTCCCACCATGACGCGAGGCGGGAGTGGAGATACGAGCGGCGCGCCATGAGGGACTCCCGCCGTGCCGCGAGGCACGGCTATGGGTACGGGTACCCCGTTGCGGTGCCCGTCGCGAGCGCCTATGGCGCCGGCCACAGCGGCTACGCCCGTGACTACTATGAGGCTGGCCCATCGTCCTCGCGGGCTCTGCCGGAGCGGAGACAGGACGAGTACTGGGAGGATCAGGGCCTTGCAGCACCGGCTGGTTTCAGAGCAAGCCACGTTGATAGGGAGCAGCGCGAGGCATCGCCGCCAAAGTACGAGACTGGCAGCTGGGAGCCGCGAAGGACGTCTGTGGAGGTGTCGACGGAGGGCAAGAGGACCTACTAGAGGCAAAAGTCATTGACTGAGGTGTATTAGACTTCTCATTCTGATCTATCGCGTGTGCATTATTTCGGTCCCGGCGTTGGGTTATTGGGCATGTCAATTCATGGGAGAGATACCGATTAGACAGCGAACGTCGTTCATGATTCCATTCAAGACCCTCGAATCCGTCGAGCTCGTATCAAGCTCTCCAAGCCGTGTAAACCGCGAGTCTACTCCATGCCTTTTTCTCCCAGGTCCAATCCCGGGAATTGTTTTCGCCCACATGCATCGCGAAATTTTGTACATGCTCATTTTAAAGGGCCCCTCAGTCGACTGTATCATTGCTGCCTCCTCACCAACACCCAATCGTAGTATGAACGAGCCCTGTCAGACCTCAAGACCTATCATTTATTGCTGGCCGGCAAGTCGTCGGCTCTGAACCTCGCCCAGGGCCTTCATTCCGCTCAGAACGGTGGTCGTACCGAGAACAGCCACCGGGAGAAGAATGTGTCCGAGGGACATGCCGCGGTGGTAGAGGAAGTAGACGAACTCGATCGCGAGGATCGAGCCGAAGAAGGTCGCGTGGGACAGCGGGGCCGCGCCCAGGGCCTTGGGAAGGCTGCTGAGGTTCGCTCCGAGGAAACCGAACCACTGGAAAAGCATCGGGTTAGCAGCTGTGCTTTACACTCGCGAAATGTGTTGCGGACAGGGCAAGAGCGAGCAACTTACACCAACCAGAAGGGTGGGCAGGGTAGCGGCGATGACCAGCACGAAGAAAATCGAGAAGATCTTGTAAGGGTACTTGGTTTCCTCGCGGAAGATGTGGTGGATCTGGGGCTTTTTGCCGTAGCGCAACGTGGAGGGAATGACGGGCGCGGGTGCGTTGGAGTCCTGCTTGATGTCGACGTCGAAGACATCGGCAATGACACCCTGCGCTGAGCCAAATGACCCAATGACAACGGTGGCGTGGATAGGCTTCGGGGACACGAGGAACTGGACGGGAATGTCTTTCTGCGTCTGTACACACACGGCTTGTTAGCTTCGCCAGCCTGAGCGTTTCGTTTTGCCATCGCATCGATAGAACGTACGACTTGGACCTTCGCCTTGCCGCTGTCCTTAACACTCAACGGGAAGGGAGCTTCCAGCCCGCTCTCGTCCTTCAATAGTAGGAAGGCCTGGTGAGGGCGCTTCGCCTTGCCGCTGTCCTTCGCTGTCAAGCTGACTGTGAGGGTATCTTGAGCGCTGAGGGTGATTGGGGTCTCGAGAGGGGATTTGGGGCCGAATCTGTGATCAGCCGTCAGCAATTGGCTCCATCTGAGCTCGAAGCAGGTCGCTGGGCGCGGGTTGAGCTCACTTCTCCTTGGTGGCCTCACCAGCAGCCTTCTTGCTGCTGATGGAGACACTACCATCATCAAAGCTCCATGACGACGCAGCCTGGACAGCGCCAGCTGCCAGGACGACGAGAGAGGATATTCCAGTGAATCGCATATTGGCTGGCTGGATGTGGTGGTGGGAAATGACCAGAAGATGTGGTCTTGGCAGGGCTGGAGATGGAAGTTCCCAGAGGACACACACGCCGCAGGAGCTCGCCGTCCCAGGTTCAGTGTGGCAGCTCCAGGAGCTTTACGTGGCGTAAACCGAAGCCTGCGGCTGGCAGTGACCACACACACAGCCCCGGCCAGGGTTAAACCCCTGCAATCACACGTTCTTCACATTGAAGTCCAACAAGACACATGCACATACAATTCATCCATCATAAGCCAAATTTGACAGACTGAAATCTTTCAAACCTTGTGTCAACTCCTTGTAGTATGCATGCATTGTTTATCCAACCCATCCTTGGCCTGATATAATACGCCCTTCGACAATTATCTACAACAGACGCATAAGTGGAAATGGGAGAAGTTCCTGCATCTAATAAAATTACTGTCATTGCCTGTTTCTGAGCACATAAGTCCTTGCTGGCCTATATTTGAACCGTTGAGCGCCTCGAAAGCCTTCGGGATGTCTCCAGGCCGTGTTATTCCCACAGGTGCTTGGTAGAGCTCGACAAGCCACCAGCAAAGGTCCACCGGATGTGGGCATAGATGTCGAAAGAACCCGCTGAACGAGCTTCAACATGTCTCCCAATACCTTTGCATTACCGTTTGTCCTATAACGAACAGTCTTTTATGAAGGCAGATGTGGGGGGAAAAAATGCATGCAGCAGTGTCTGGGTACACAGACAAGCGGCCCCAGGCAGAGTGGATTCTCCCAGTTTAGTGTAAGTTGATTGGCCAGACGCTGGCAAAGACAACTGCTTGCAGGCACCACCCCGTCCCATAATTTGCTCAGACTCGAGTTGTCGTTTCATGGATTCCAGAGGTTTCTGTTGAGATCCAACGTTTGGGGCACTTTTGGTCCATCTGTCCAGGTTTAAACGGCTTAGTCTTGGCGAAAGAGCTTTCAACAATAGTCTCGTCTGGTCCTCATTTCTCCTTTTCCCACCAATGACTCCATGGATGAGGACGATGTATGGATGACGATTGCCTGTGTTTCGTCTTCTCTGCTAAGAATCTAGAGACGCTTAAAGGACCTCAAAATTGCAGCATAGTACATGTGTGTTGCATTCTCACTGATTTGGCTGCTTGCTGAATCTACTCGGTTCCGACAGCAACAAGCGGGTTTGAAATAGTTGCAAGTTGTTCCACATGTTTTGTACCTGAATCTCATGACTGCACGTCAGCTTGAACGGAGAAAGGTCAAGTCGTACGAGGGAAAAGGTCATGTTCTAATTTGTCCCTGTCAAGTATCGTGTGTACGCTCAGCTGACAGTGGCCCATTCCGCCCTCAAATCTTCTTTCAACGTTAATATGGGCCACCCAGTCCGCGCTTCACAGTCACTGATCAGCGAGATGATGGCCTCCCGTTTTACTAGGTCATGAGTACAAAGCCCCGCGCCGAAGAGGCACTGGGCTGAGAGAATTTGGCACCCTTCGTCCTTCAACTCCATGGCAATCCCACAGATGGTTTCTACTGCATCTGACAAGACTCGCTGAGTCTGCAAGTAGCCCTGGAAGCCACCGATGCCTGGGAGGTGGAGGGAGATTAGTATTTTGGCAAAATTGTAGACCTGCATAGCCACGGCAAATTGAGGGGGGTGGATCCAGATAGACTTGAACTCAGAGCCTTGCAAGCGGGACGGAGGGCATGGGAGAGGCTTATAAGCTGGTCCCACGAATGACTTCCACCTTTCCAAGGCTACGTTCAAGACGCTCCCGGATTGGATCCTGGCCTCCATTGTCCATATTTTCGAATGGGAGTCTGCGCAAAAGTTTACAGCCTGTGACAGGAGGTAGACGGCCCTGTTGGCGAGCTCGTTCTGGGTGAGCTCGGAGACATCCTTGGCCGGCCTCCAGAAGCTGAAGCACCGCCTCTTTTCCCGGAAGGCGGCCCAGAGGTCTTGCTGCAGCCATGCCCACCACACGGACTGTCGCAGGCCGCCAGAGGCGCCGTGGACGTCCTGTGAGCGTTGGATCCCAAATACGCCCTTCAGGTGTCTCGTCCAATTACCCTTGCTGTCATCGAGCATCTCGTATGTCGAAGTGATGATCACCGTGGCTAGCAGCTCCTCAGATCGGGTGTATGTTGTATACTGCAGAGCTTCTCGGACGTAGTGGAGCGTCTCGTAGTAGTATTGGACTGGTATACTGGGATCGAATGTCCTAGCCCCCACGGTGGAAGTGGCAAGGCGCGAGGCTAATGCGAGGATGGCTTTCATAAGACCCAAGTTTCGAAGCTGCCGAGGCGCTTTCTTCAGCGAATTGCATCTTGACAAGCTCAGCCAGGACAAGCACGGGCTCCTTGGCTTTCACTTACAGCTAACCTAGTGGCGTGGGTCGAGAAGTGCCTGTGTGGGTCAAACAGGTCCAGCAGCAACGCAGCCTTCTCCGTGAACGTTCGGAACAGGATTGCTTCTTCGTCTCGGAGAGATATGTCCTGGTCGAGTTGCCACGCCTGTAGCTCGCAAGCACTATGGCGCACACCATCGACAGGGTGTTCAAGCTCGGTACCAGGAAGGATGCGGCTATTGGCCTGCCTACGAGCAACTTCCAAATCTGCAGGGTGTGTAGCTTCATAGTTGAGACCAGCCCCTGCTCCTGCTAGGGGTGCGGGACTTGTCGATGGACTCGGTGCCAGAGAGAACCCGCTGTCTGCTTGAGCAGCATCACTCGCCAGAAGGTCAAGCCAACGAGTGGATGCGAGGTCCGCTGTGAGCAGCTCAGAGGCCACTGTTTCTGGACTGAATGCATGCTGGGCCTGATGTTGTCTCTCATCTGATAGGTGTGATACTTCGGGCCTCTGAAAGCTTGAAATGAAGGGAGCGTTCTGGGTTGGCGTCACCCCTGGTAGACTGGAAGAGGGCTGTGTTGGCTGACTTCCTGATGTGTTAACAAGCGGTGATGGTGGAGCCGGGTCCGGAGCTCTCAGTCCCTCTTCTGAAGGTGAGAGGGCAGTTCTTGAGGCTCCAAGCCCTGTTGGTGCCGCTTCGTCTCTCGGGCTCGAGATCGGCATAGGCACAGGCTCTACTGGCAATGGAACATGGGCCGCACCCAGGGCGTCGTTCGTCACACTTTTTGTGTCTCTTCCTACACGTGAGACTGTTTATCGCAAGGCCAGTGGGTGTTAGTATGAGCAGGCAGATACATAGTAGGCAGAGCCAGGGCAGATGCCCCGTCTCGCGGCCAGTTGGAGTTACTCAGTGACTAGTGCTAAACGAAGGCGACTCACCATCCAGTTTTGGTCCGCATGCCCCTCGACCGAGACTTCCTGACCTTGTTCTTGGATTTCCCCGGTTTCTCCATTTTGCGGATTTTTGGCGTGACCCGCCGTGGCCGGATTCCGAGGTTTAGCAACCGCAGCAACAAGACGCTGAAAGGTTGAAGCTGGAATAGTCAGGGGGGAGAGAGGGGCGCGACTCGAGGCTTTTTAGACATACTCCGCACGTCCTTGGGCCGCGCTACTCGCTGGTTGTGGGTACAATGCATAGAGGTGGATCGATGCCAAAGAGGGGGGAAACTGGGAACAAAGGCCTCGGTAGTTTCCCTTCTTCTCATCTTTCCCCAGACAATAGTGGAGACGGCGCGTGTCGAGGTCATTGCTCCCCTCCCGGCCCGTAATGCTGAGTATATCTCGTGCCGCAAAAGAGCGTCGTGTTGCTAGGTTTTGCTATCACGTAGTAGTATGATGAGACTTATCCACGGCCAAAACCTGGAGTTTGTCCACCTGCAGGCCTCATTTTATTTCCACCCACAGCCCCCACAGACTTTACTTCACGCATCACCTCTACCTACCCATCGCTAGGCAACATGGAGTGGAAACAGCAGAACAAGACATATCAAATTCTCAAGGCCGCCGAAGAGGGAGGATATGGCGTGCTTGCAGCGATAGCGTGAGCCTCCATTCCACCCAAATGTCTCAACTCGACGGGTTATTGTGTTCCACTAACACATTCTTAGGTACAACATCGAGAGTATTTTGGGTCTTATAAGGGCTGCGGAGGCGAAGCGGTCGCCCCTGATCCTCCAAATGTTCCCCTGGGCGATCACATATAGCGATGGACTGTTAGTGCACGCAGCTGCCCAGCGAGCACGTCAGTCTTCAGTACCGGTTGCTATTCATCTCGACCATGCACAGGACGAGGCCTTGATCAAACACGCAGCTGCGAACTTGCCTTTTGACTCAATCATGGTGGACATGAGCCACTACGAGATGCATGAGAATCTGCGGAAGACTCGGGAACTGGTCGCGTTTTGCAACCAACACAAGATTACCACTGAAGCAGAGCCTGGTCGCATTGAGGGCGGCGAAGACGGTATTGCTGGTACTGCAGAGTAGGTTGACCGACAAGCTTCGTTATTGATCTTTCATCCATATTCAAGCATTCTATGACGGCCTCTCCAAATTACCACTTGTACTGATCAGAAATGACTTAGTCTCGAGGGTGCTTTGACAACCCCGGAACAAGTGGAAGATTTCATTGCCACTGGAATTGACTTCCTAGCGCCTGCATTTGGTAATGTCCACGGCGATTATGGCCCAAGGGGTCCAGTCTTGGAATACGACAGACTTGCCAAGATCAGGGAGACGATTGCTGGCAGAGTACGCCTTGTGGTCCACGGAACAAACGACTGGAGCGAGGAGGTGACCAAGAAGTGCGTGGCTGGTGGGTGTGTGAAGGTCAACGTTAACAAGCTGGTGTTGCTGGACTACTTGAATCATCTGAAGGTAAATGCACCATCCAAGAGTATCACGGTACTGATGGAGGAGGGGACCAAGGAGATCCAGGCACTTACCGAGTGGGCTATGGATGTATGTGGTAGTACTGGAAAGGCGTGAGAAACATCTTCGAATCGAATAGTCGATTTTCCATGCACCGAGTTGATACCTGTAGCCATCCAAGCCATAGTATTCAGCTTTTGCAGTGCTTTGCAAAATTACAGCTCATCTTCCTTGGTTCAACCTCCAGTTTTGTACATAAGCCCTTCGGAGTGTATATTAGCCGGCTCGGGGAGCGTCTTAGCCCTCGTATCCACTCTATTACTCTAATCATTTGAAGAGGGTCAAGAGTCTCAGAGTGAGTTTATAGCCTTTGACAACCATTTTGCCAGCATGGTAGGAACAAATTCACCTAGGGTGTAAGTCTAAAGGAAAAGGCCATGGATTTGATTTTAGACAGGATTGACGGGGACAGTCCTGATTCTACACAGTAAACCTTGTGATCGGCACATGCAGGGAGCCTCGAGACGCGGCCATCGAGACGAGCAGGGACCTCGAGGCGCACGCGACAGCTGCGGCATTTGATTGACACTACTTGGTCTCCCGTAGAAATGCTATGTTGACTTGAATCGTCAACCTTATAATCGAAGAGACTTTCCATAGCATCTTTGGCCTTATCAACTTATTCCTTCTGATGCCCACCGAGTCGTGTCACCGCCCGAATCTCACAGTCTCAACTTGAAACATGTCCGCAAGAAAGAATGTTATCATCACCGGGGCCGGTGGAATGATCGGTCCCATGTTGGCCCAACGCCTTCATGATGATGGCTACAATCTCATTCTAACGGACATTGTTGAGCCCAAGGCCCCTAAGGGTGGCAATTCAGAAAATGTCAAATGCCTGAAGGGTGACATCACCGACGCAGCATTTGTGAAGCAACTGCTTGACGCCGCGCAGCCGCTCCATGCTATTTTCATCTTCCACGGCATCATGTCGGCAGGTTCTGAGGCAAACTTTGATCTTGTAAGCACCATCTGATCGAAGATGGCAGCACAGATAGTTCGAGAGCAGGTTGCTAACACCGAGGAATCAGTCGATGAGAGTCAATGTGGAGAGCGTCCGAAACTTGCTCCTTTCCATACGAGAGCTGCCGCAGGCACCAGTAAGAGTGGTGTACTCGAGCTCACAGGCTGTGTACGGGCAACCTCTACCCAAGATCATAGCGGACGATGTCACGCCTACGCCCGAGGGAACTTACGGTGCACACAAGTACTCTACTGAGATAATCATCAACGACATGCACCGAAAAGGCTTCATCGACGCATTCACAGTTCGGTTTCCAACGGTGGTGGTCCGGGCCGGCGCACCGAGCAATGCGGCCCCCTCGTTCCTCTCAGGTTTGTCTTTCCCTTGATTGAGATGGTAGGAGACCTCGACTGATTATTATCGTAATCAGGCATGATTCGGGAGCCAATGAAAGGAGAAGAGTGTGTGATACCGCTCACGGACAGATCGTACAAGACATATGTATGCTCTCCGAGCAGCACAATCGAGAACCTGGTGCGGGTGCTCAACCTCAAGAGTGATGCCCTGCCAAAACACCAGCGGCACATCATGTTCCCGGGCGTGTCAACTACTATCCAGGACCTGATGGATGCTCTGGCCAAGCACGGTGGCCAGGACAAGCTCAAGCTCCTCAAGGAGGAGACGAACCCTACTTTCGAGAGGATCCTGAGGAGCTGGCCGGAAGACTTCGACCCGAGCACGCCGGACAGGCTTGGTCTGGTCAGGGATAAGAAGGCGGAGGACTTGGTGAAGGAGTACATTGATTCCTTGGGCTCGCAATAAGTTCTTTTGGAGAAGAGTTACCTGTCGACTCAGTGTCAGCTAGATCGAGAGTTGGCGCCGGCTAACTATAGATAATTAGAAGAGGTGTTGCTCCGTCGTGACTTGTCCAGAGAAGCCCGCGAAAAAGAATCAGCATACACATTTAATGGGTTCAACGAAACTTCCAATCGAAAGATGTCTCTGCTAGGGTGAGTCCCATAGAGGAATGAAAAGAATCGAAGGCATTGGTATGTGATTGCGTTTGATCAGGAACCTCCCCCTCCACCGTAGTGAATGGTGCGTTCACCTTGCCAGGGCGGGTTAACGTAACCCTGGCGCTGAAACCTCCAGGTGGTCAGTTGGCGCTGCAGCAGGACCAACCTACCTGTAGGGGCTTGTCTCGAACAAAGCATTTGTGTGAGACGTGACGGTTCCTTGGACGCCACTACCCGTCCAGACTGCACCGGCCACCCAAAGAATTCATTTCTGGCTTTCATTTCAACTTGACGCCATCACTGACGTCGGTCTTCAGCCCTTGGCCCCCTCTCCCCTTGAGTCTGTCTGCCTTATCCTCCAGTGCGGGAGACAGAAATGGGCAAAGACGTCGAGTAAGATGAATACCTACTTACCGCCGTCTCTTTGTACCCATACTGATTTGATGTTTGCGGAAGGCAAGATGTCTGACCAAGAAGAGCTGGATGAGGATCGTCTGCTCCAGGAGGGGATTCTCTTGTCCTTGATGGAGCAGGAGAGCCCTGACTCTGCGGCAAAGAGCAGAGCAGCTGCTAAACGTGGCGCCGACAAGCAGCTGGCCAGAGATGTCGTCAAACGGTCAAGAGCAACTCCCACCACAAGCACCAGGCCAAATACCAGACTGGCCTTCCCAAACGGTGCCCTCCGCATCACCCGCACACCAGGCAGGTCGAGGGCCAAGAATTGCGTCAATCTCACAGACGTGATACACAAGGACAGCCTTTTATCTGCCTGTGTCTTTTCCTTTTTCATAGCAAACGAGGAGCTGTTCAAGCACCTTCCACTGTCGCGTACCTCGAATGCTGTTCCGGTATTGCACCCCGGCCCATGATCTCAAGCATGCGACCGCCTGAGCTAACTTTATTTACAGATATATATCGGACGAGACGCAAAAATGGATCCTATGCTCCCCAAGGCATGCCGCAAGAGTGGTGTTGCGCCCAGGGAGAAGATTTCCAAGAAACAGCTGCAGGACCTTCGCCCTCAGCTGGAGCAGCTGCATCGTCAGGAGTACGGGCCCAACTACCACGCCTTTTATGCCTGGTCATCGGGCTCTTCACACTCAAAAATCCTTGCTCTAGTATATCCGGGATTCTTAAGGATCGTCATTACGTCCTGCAATATGATGGACATAGACACCGAGCTGGGTGACAACCATTGGTATATACACGACTTGCCCAAGCTCGCCACTCAGCAGCAAAGCCTGTCCACCTTCGAATCAGACCTACTTGTTCACCTGAAAGCCCTGGGAACACCCATTGACTTCATAAGTTCCATACAGGGGAAGTATGATTACTCAACAGTCAAGGTTCATCTGGTCACGTCTGTCCCTGGAACGTACTCAGGCACCAAAGCCCAGGACTGTGGCCTCCTCCGCCTCCGGCACATCATCAGAGGCTTGGACCTGAACCTACCACAAAAGAAGCGCCAGGGGAAGCTGCAGATTGAAGTATGCGCAGCCAGTCTCGGAAACTTGTCTGCAAGATGGATTGATGGGTTTTACGACTGCGCTCTGGGACGCAAGTACGTTGAGATCACCGAAGACTGTGACGTGCCAAACTATCTCAGTCTGTTCTATCCGACCGTTGAGGACGTCAGGTCAGCAGACGAGGACGCACAACATGGCGCCAGCAACATTGGGTGCCACATACGCCCTTGGAAGGAGGCACCAAAGGCAGTCAAGAATATCTTCCATCATTACCGCTCTAAGGACTCCGGCACTCTTCCACCAGAAGCTCATCCTCGCATACGACCCCACAACATCTTCCTCGCTACCATACTATATCTACATAGGCTCCGCGAATCTGTCGTCTTCTGCATGGGGAGCACTTGAAAATGACAAGAAGGAGAACAGGGCGACGTGCGATTTGAAGCTCATCAAAACCTCCAACTTTGAGTGCGGCGTCGTGATTCCGGGCAACGTTGTTGAGAGTGTTCTCCAGCCGGGGACAAGCAGCTGGCAGGACGACATCGTGCCATACGCCCAAGCTGCGAGCAAATACGACATCGGAAAGGACAGGCCTTGGAACGACCCAAGATGGGTGAAGGATTTCCGGGACGACTACAATGGTGATTGAGGTAGTGGAATTAGGTCTGCATGGGCCATCGGCTCATTGCTGCAGTCAAGGGTTTGACCCTGAAGAAGGTGGTGGGACGGAAACACGGCAGGGTGGGATGCTCGCATTCTTGACAGATTTCAACTCCCTCCGTTAGGCCAGACCGGCTCGTCTGGACGTGCAGATCGCAGCAATGACCTCGCGACTTCTCAAGCGGTCAATCTGCAGGTTGCCATGGGAAAATTGACTGCGATAGCCTCCCCAACCCGCCATAGTGGGCCCAGGCTCAGTCGAGGCATGTCGTGTGTGTAAGTCGGTATTACCCTGGATTTTGGCCCTCACGGGCGCTCGCTCCCGCCGACCACGTAGATACCACCCGTCGCGTGCAATGTACTAATTCATGGCCTGTCAAGGACCAGCAGATTCCTCCCACCTGCCCAGCCCATAGCGGTGGCGCTGTTATTCCTGCTCGCGAACTTGCTCGCGCCGGTGGTCGCGTACACGAGCCTCTCCGATGACAGCCTGCACCGAATACCCGCTGGCGGCGCCGACTTCGACATCCACAATGACGCCGGGCTGCTCGCGCCCATCCTGATCCCACGCGTGCCCGACACCCCAGGCTCCGAAAAAGTTCAGCAGCACTTTGCCGACTTCTTCGAGAGCAGCCTGCCGGGCTGGGCCGTCGAATGGCACAACTCGACGTCCAAGACCCCGGCCACGGGCAACAAGCTCGTGTCGTTCCGCAACCTGATCCTGCGCCGCGACCCTCCATGGGCCGCCGTCGGCGACGTCGCGCGGCTGACCCTCGCCGCACACTACGACAGCCTGTACAGACCTGAGGGTTTCATCGGGGCGACGGACAGCGCTGCGCCGTGCGCCATGTTGCTGCACGTCGCGCGGAGCGTGGACGAGGCGCTGACGAAGAAGTGGGAGTCCATGCAAGCTGCCGGGGACACGGATGGCCTCGAAGAAGAGAAGGGCGTGCAGATACTTCTGCTGGACGGGGAAGAGGCTTGGGTGCAGTGGACTGATACGGACAGCACGTACGGTTCCCGCTCGCTTGCCTCACACTGGGACAGCGAAGTCCACCCGGCCGCGTCGGTCTTCAAGCACCCAATCGACTCGATCTCTCTCTTCGTGCTGCTTGATCTGCTTGGCGCGAGTGACCCGCATGTGCCGTCCTACTTCCCAACGACGCATTGGGCATACCAGAACCTAGCTAAGATTGAGGACCGAATGCGCCAACTGAAGCTGCTCGCGTCGAAGCCCAAGGGCCATTTCCTCCCGGACACCAAAAAGGAGCCGTGGCAGTTCTATCGCGGGTTTGTCCAGGACGACCATGTGCCATTCATGGATCGGGGAGTAGAGATTCTGCATCTGATCCCGACGCCTTTCCCGGCGTCCTGGCACAAGATGGAGGATGACGGCGAGCACCTCGACGGACTTGCTGTGCAGGACTGGGCAAAGCTCATTACGGCTTTTGTGGCTGAATGGATGGACCTCGAAGGCTTCATGCCACCTCTGAAAGGGGATCATGCGGATGACAGACTTCGCAAGACAGAGCTGTGATGGACCACTTTGTTAGGCACACAAAGGTATCTGTGCTATAATCATTTGCCTTTTGGGCCCTAATCCAAATGGTTGAAGGCTGAAACTGCATGCTTGTCTCCGGTTGCTTATCGACGCGAACCGTGACACTTGGTCCCATGATCGCCTCATAAGATATGCGCTATCTCGCTGACGGATTGTTGCCCTGCAGCAAGAGCGGGAGGGATTCCCCGATCGGGATTAAGTATGCAATTGCGCCACATAGAATCTCCTGCACGATTGTATTCCTGTTGGTCCTCGATATCAGTGCACGCAGGGGCACGGCTCGCAACTCTTATATCCGATGGCGCGTTGTCTCGTATTCCGGTGGCCGGGCCTCGAGTCCCGTTGTCCCTGCTTACGCCCTGGGAACCCGGCGAATTTCAGTGTAAACAAACATCCAAGGGCGACCTCATCGAGGAGCCATGATGGAGGCAGCTTTGCTTCTTGCGCAAGCCTCCTTGCTATTGACTACTTCCGCTGTCTGTAACATTGCATTTCTTCTTTTGGCACCATGGAGCCTTCGGAAACTCTACGGATCGCCCGTCGTGGTTCGAGTAAGCTGGCAAAGGAGAGGAAAAATTGTAAAAAAATACTGTTCCACGACGCTTCCACGGTGCGAAAGATACTGAGTCCATGAACAGATGGCAGGAATACTTTACAGTGTTTGTCAGCTTGTCCTCTTGCTCTCGGCGGTGGCATTTGCCCACAATGGAGAGTCAGCGCCGCCGCCTCTCACCTACGCCGAGACAGCATCAGGGCTCATTGGAGCTCTGGCTTTGCTCTGGGTATCGTGTTTGGCACACTGGCGATCAATTGATCCTTCTGGCCTTGTGGTCGCGTACCTGTCAGCCAAGTTGGCTTGTTATGCAGTCCTGGCCTCTGTCCCGGGCGTCGCTCATGACAGGCCGCTTGAAGTCGCCCGAGGATGCTCGATCATACCCCTCCTATTTCTCGAACTCCAGGGTAAAAGGTCCATACTGCTGCCTCCCTACCAATCTGAGCCGCCCGAGGCCACGACAAGCTTCTTGGGGAGAGTGCTGTTCACGTGGATTAATCCGATCCTGTTTTCCGGGTACACGAAGATTCTCCATGGGGATGATCTCCCTCCACTCGACCGGGATTTGGACTCAAACAATCTCAGACAGGCGATCTTGCGAGCATGGGACCAGAGAGGTTCGTGTCTATTCCAGCTAGTCTTTCAAGTCTTTCCGTCTTTTGTGGAACGTTTCTAAGCCGGTCTCACAGCAAAACCTGAGGGGGCGACCACCCTGCCTCGGGTTCTCCTGGGTTGCATTTTGACACCCTTCTTGACGGCAGTCATACCGAGAATAGCTGTCGTTGCTTTTCGATTTGCCCAGACCCTTCTTGTCAGCCGGGCTATCCGCTTCGTGACCCATTTCTCTGCCGCGAGTGACGGGTCTGGAGCATACTGGCTAGTCGTTGAGGCAACCGTCGTATATGTCGGCATGGCGGTAAGTGTGCCTCGTAGAATTTATGTACCAAGATTCTCCTAGACTAATGTCCAATGGACAGGTTTCGACTTCGGTCTACCAGCACCGCGTCAACCGCCTCGAGGTCATGACCAGGGGCATAATGGTTAGCTTGATCCACAGTCGGGCCCTCGAAGTTCGATATAGCGAGGCCGAGGACGGAAAAGTAGCCACCTTGGCAAGCAACGATATCAGCAATATGGAGGACTCTGCCAGGATGATCCACGAGACCTGGGCTCAGTTCGTGGAAGTCGTTGTTGGCACATTCCTCTTGTCAAGGCAGGTGGGCTGGCTGTGGCCATTACCACTGGTGCTGATTTTCTGTAAGAAGCACCCGTAGTTCTCGCCAGTGCGATGGTCGCTGACTTGAACCCAGTTTGCTCCCGTGTCAGTCGCTACGTTGCTCAGCACCTGAAGCCAGAGCAAGGCAAATGGAATGTGGCTACTCAGCAGCGGATCTCATTCACAAACTCGATCCTGAGCTCCGTCAAGAATATAAAGATGCTTGGTATGCAGCAGGCTGTAGCCGATCGTATTCGAGACCTCAGAAAGCACGAGATGGATGCTGCCAGAGGAGTCAGATTGCTCACGGTTCAGTACGGTGCCAGCGGTAAGCTGAACTGCTTTTCAGAACTTAAAACAATATACTGACAGTCTTGTTTTTAGCAAACGCACTGGGGCTTTTTGCGCCTGTTTTTACTGTTGTTCTGTACGCAGCTCTTGCGGTACTTCGTGGAGATGTGATGGGTGCCGAGACCGCGTTCACCACCGTTGCACTTCTCTTGATGATCACTCGTATGTCACAAGTCCATTCTATCTTTTCTTGGGTAAACTCCAGTACTCTCAAGACACATTTACGAGGCTTGAGCGGGTTGTAAGTTGAACATGTGCTGACACAATCATCGAGCAGACCCTGCAAATATGATTATGACTTTTGTTCCTCGGGCTGTCATAGCCTACTCCGGTTTCGAACGGATCCAATCGTACCTCCTGGACGACCATGATCGAGATCGGTCACGGGCAACAACTCCATTTCCAATCAATGGATCTAGTGCGGCTACACTCAAGTTCGCTATTGAGTTGGCCAATGTTTCCATCCCCGGTACAGATGATTCGAAGCCGATACTGAAAGACATCAGCTTCGGCATTCGTCGAGGTTCGCTTGTCATCTGTACAGGGCCAGTAGGCTCAGGCAAAACCACCCTTGCCAACGCGATCCTAGGCGAGGTATCTCCTTCAGAAGGAACCATTACAGTCTCACCGGAACGAGTTGCCTACTGCTCGCAATCGCCATGGCTGCCAAGCCAGGTGGTTCGAGATGTCATCTGTGGGCCAACCGGGTCCCATGGGCGCGACGAAGCATGGTACCAGAGAACAATAAAAGCCTGTTGTCTTGATTCAGACTTCAAGGCGCTCCCGGACGGCGACCTCACGCCCGTTGGAAGCAAAGGCATGAATCTCTCTGGAGGACAACGCCAGAGGATAGCTTTGGCCCGCGCCATATTCTCACGATGCAAAATCCTAGTCCTGGATGATAGCCTTAGTGCTCTGGATGAGAAGACCCAAAGCCACGTCGTTGAGAACCTGCTCATGCCGGGAGGCATACTTCGCGACGGCGCAATAACAGTCTTCTGGATCACGACCTCCACCAAGTTCTTCAACTTGGCGGATGACATAATCGTCCTCGCCGATGGCACCGTGAAAGAAAGGGGAACGTGGGCTCACCTTCGAGAGAGCGACCCCTTGATTGACGAGGTCATCCATCCCCATCTTGAAACACCAGTGACATTCGCCGAGGCTCAGACGATAAGACAGTCTCGGGCAGAGATTCTGAACGACGGGTCAAAAGATCTTGCCCGGAAAAATGGCGATCTGTCCCTATACAGCTACTATCTGAGATCAGCAGGGTTCAGAAGCGTCGGGGCTATGTCTTTGGCCGGAGTGTCCTACTCCTTCTTCAATACATTTACCCATTACTGGTTGAAAATGTGGACGGATTCCGGGTCAAGAAACACGACACTCTACATGACGGGCTACATGGCCCTCCTAACGCTAGCATACGCCTCAACAGTCACCGGCATGTTCTATACAAACCTCCGCATCGCCCCAAACTCGGGGCTCGCCCTCCACGGCCGCCTCCTCGTCGCCATCGTGTCCGCCCCGCTGCGGTACTTCTCAGGGACCGACTCCGGGTCGATACTCAACCGCTTCGGACAGGACATCCAGCTGGTCGACAAGCAGCTGGCACCCGCGCTCCAGTCGCTGAACAACCAGGTCTTCAAGCTGCTCGGCCAGTCCTGCGTGCTGCTCGCGTCGCAGCCACTGATGGCGCTCTCCCTTCCCCACAGCGCGGCCGTCGTCTACGCCGTGCAGAAGGTGTACCTGCGCACGTCGCGCCAGCTGCGGCTCCTGGAGCTCGAGTCCCGCGCCGCCGTCTTCTCCAGCTTCCTCGAGACCGTCCAGGGCGCGCCGACCATCCGCGCGTTCGGGTGGGGCCGCGAGACCGCGCGGCAGAACGTCGACACCCTCGACGGTTCCCAGCGTCCGTTTTATTTGCTCCTCTGCCTGCAGCGGTGGCTCAATGTCGTGCTGAACCTGCTCATCGCCGCCATCGCCGTCGGCACCATCGGGCTGGCCGTCCTGTATAGGGATTCCACGACTGGGGGCCAGGTCGGCATGGCCCTGAACGTCATCCTCGTCGCGAACACGACGCTACTCTCGCTGGTTGGTGCGTGGACAGACCTCGAGATCTCGCTCGGGGCCGTGGCGAGGCTGAAGGAGGCTGAGACCGAGACGCCCAGGGAGGACCAGCCGGGTGAATGCGACGTGCCACCTAGCAAGTGGCCCAGCAGGGGCGAGATCGTCCTGAGTGGTGTGACAGCCGCATACGGCCCATCGGCCGTCGCACTCAGGAACGTGGACCTCAGGGTTGAGGCGGGCCAGATGGTAGTAGTGTGCGGGCGGACGGGCAGCGGCAAGTCCTCTCTGCTCCTCTCGCTGCTCAGGCTGCTCGACACAATCGAGGGGACCATCGCGGTCGACGGCGTCGAGCTCTCCACGCTGCCAAGGTCACTGGCCCGCGAAGGGGCGTTCATCACCGTCGCGCAGGAGGCCTTCTTTCTGCCGCAGGCAAGCCTGCGCTTCAACCTCGACCCGGAGCTGAAAGCCCCTTCGTCCGTCATCACGGCGGCGCTGAGGCGGACCGGGCTCTGGGACCTGCTTGTCGGCGCCGGAACAGATAATCACCACGAGATGCCTTTTGGAGATGATCAGCATGCTGAGGAGACGATCGTCCTCGATAAGCCCTTCTCTTCCCTGCCCGTACTCTCAGCGGGCCAAACACAGCTCCTCGCCCTCACTCGGGCACTCGTGCGCAGGTCTGTCTTGTCAGGCGCTTCCATTTCTGCGGAGCACTACACGGACTTTGACCGCGTGGGATCCAGGCCGATCGTTCTGCTCGATGAGGTCACGTCGTCGCTCGACCCAGTAACAGAGGGGAAATTGCTAGATATTGTCCGGGAGGAGTTTGTCGACCAGGGCCACACCGTTGTGATGGTGACGCACAAGTTGGATGCCGTGAAGGGCAGGCTGAGGGACAGGAGGGACGCCGTTGTATGGGTGGGACAAGGGCGGATTGAACGAGTAGAGGTTATGTGAGGTTCGGTGGTGTCACAATTTGATAGTGATCCTCCGTCGGGAAAATATGCGCTTCGCTGTATTTCTTACTAGATGGGTTTTGTGTCGTTATTCTGAAGTCAACTGCCCTTTTGCGGCTGTGCCGTCCCGACGCCATTTCCCATGCAACATAATTATATAAACAGAGCCCTGGCCCATGAACGTAGTTCAGTCATCCAGCCAGCCCATCCTCTTGCAGGTCAACGAGCGCTCTGGACCGCCAATGAAGTCTAAAGCAAAGCGCTCTAGGTCTGATGAACAAAAGTAAGAAGTATTTCTCTACTCCTCAAGGTGCTGCCGCAGTATCTTCATTGCTGAAGCAGCCACCCGGGGTCGCCTTTCCGCGCCTCTGTCACCTTGAGAGCGTTTCTCCTGAGCCTTCTTCCCATCCAAGATGGTGCCGTTTGTCGCTTGGCTTCTCCTATCCGCTTGCTCGTCGTGTTCCTATTGCGCCTTCTTCCCGTTCACGGCGGTGCCATTCGTTGCTTCGCCTCTCTTCTCCGCTTGCTCTCTCCTCCTGGTCTCTTCAATCTTCTCAGGCGGCACCGTCAACGCCCTGATGCCCAAGTAGTCGCAGATGGAACCAGTCACTAAGAAAGCCCAACGGAAATATGCAATCATCGCGAAGACGAAATAACCGTACAGATATGCTGTCTCCACCTCGGCGGTAACTGCGGGCAGTCCAAACCGTGGCAGGTTGCCCAAGATAGCGCCGCCTACCAGCGGGAACAGCATTACGGTCCAGTATGGGAAGGGCTGGCGCGTCAGGTGCGCGAGGATCATCTTGGTCGTCATGCGGCCGAAGACGAAGCTCATGGTCAGGCAGAACAGCACAAGGTGGTTCTCACGGCGCAGCGTGGAAAAGGGGCTGTACAGCCAGAATCCGATGGAGAATGTGTAGACGGCCATCGGGGTCCACTCGAGGAAAACGGGCGCGATCGGCAGCTTCTGTCTTCGGCGCGCCTCGACCACGTGCTTGATGCATCCCGGCACATGGACGAACAAACCCCCTACTATTGTAAGTGCCCATATGTCGCGCACGGCAAGATCGCCTAGCCGGTCTGCGTAGCCGAAGGTGTAGTCCTCTCCCAGGACCTTGACGACGGGAGTCGTCCAAATCTGCGGGCCGTAGACTCCAGACAGAGCCATGATAGAAGCGGCGATGAGGAGGCCCTCTGTCGGACCGTTGATGAAACCCAGGTAAAGCGTGTGGCTGTGGTATGTCTCCCAGGTGGAAAAGAACATGGGGATGCAGGGGCACAGCGCGGTGAAGACGCCTGTCTTGGACGTGCCGAGGCCCATGGCAGCCGTCTCGAGAAGCGACGCAAGGGTACAGTTGAGAGAATCGATGCCGTGGTCAAAAAGCTCGCCGAGACCGCTCGACGTGCCCGTCCGCCGCGCTTGTTTGCCATCTATGTTGTCCATGGTCTGGTACATGAAGAGACCGAGTGCGAAGCTGAAGTACAGCCATGAGGGCCCCTGATGCGGGACACCGGTTAGCTGCGGCTCCTCGTTCGTGCACTTCCTGCCCGTGGGCGAGAACTGGATGCTTCAGGGGCAGGGTAACGTACTGGGCCTATTAGATCTGGCACGAATAGTACAAGTAGTCCAACATTGGCCAGGATAAAGAAGAAGCCGACGAGCGTGACCGTGTTCGGTGCCATCCATACTGGTAGTAGACCTGCGGCCCAGTTCCACTGCCGCCCATAGATGTGTTAGCTGGCTGTAATTCGTGCGGTGCTCGGGCGGTCGGCGCGCAGAGGCTCGCGGCGAGGGCAGGTTTCGAGGCGAGGATTGGCACGTACGTATGGTCGAAGGATGTAATACGAGACAGGCGACTTGTCGACAGCAGAGTATTTATACGACTTAAGATGTACCAGGGCCTCTTCTGAGACGCACTCGGCGGCGGCTTCTTCTGTCGGCCACGAATACATGTGTTAGCACTCGGCGTACGCAGTTGGGCTGGCCTCGTCGCACCCGTGCTGGGATTTTTCAGGGCCATGAAGCCCCTGAGCATGAGCAGCCCAGCAAGGCTGCGCAAGGTTCTACCGGCGGGATCCTGAGAAAAGGGGACACGAACTGCTGTTAGGAGCCATTGTATGGTTGGTGCTGCGGCTGCCCAGATCGATGTCGTAGAGGTGAGTGAAGCAGAAGACGCAGCGATGCGAGGCGGGGAAGTGTAATCGGATTATGCCTCCAGAAGCGGCATGCTTGTTGTGGGGTGGGAGTGGCAGTGTCCCGAGGCCAGGCCGGACGAGTTGATCAAGAGTCGGGAGATTGAGAACCTTGGAAGAGCTTGTTCCTAGTTGCGTTTCGAGGCTCGGGAGAGGGCAACCTGCCAAAGACCCAGATTCGTCACTGGCGGAGGCAGGCGCTGCTCGCTTGATTGGCCAGCTCAGCATTTCATCCATGACCCCTGCAGCTTGTCCCACTCACATGCCTGCTGGCTGTACGGCATCTAACAGTTGTGAACCGCTCGCTATGCACTGCTCCCCTCTTCCAAGCCAGGCTGAGCTCGGCCACGCCTACCCGAGGTGCGTGTGTGACTTGTCGTGTAGGCCCTCTCCGTCTCGTCACTTGTCAACCACGGAGACGACGGGAAAGGCTGAGTGCTTGGGAGACAGGACTCAGTCGACGACCCCTTCTTCTGTCATTACACCCATACACTACCTCCCGCGGGGTCCTTTCCTCAGACTGGGGTACCCCTGGCTTGCACTAGTCCGCAGCCGAGCTTCTAGAAAAAGTCCTCACATAACAGCAGTATTTTCCCTCAACGCTTTACTTCGCACTTGCCATTGCCAATGCTGAGAGTGGCAGATCCTCCTCATGGGACGACAATGTTCCCATAATTTGAGGGTGTAGTGGACTTGTCTGGATGCATTTGCTCAGGCTCTGAGTGTTGCCAAGGCATGCTGCTGGCGGATCTTTGTTCCTTTTTCTGAGAGCTGCACGCTGCTGACACGTGAAAGCCGTCCCAATGTCCCATCGCTCAGCTCGCCGTTCCGAGACAAGATGGAGGGGGAGGAGGGGGAGGAGGAGGGACGATGAAGACCACCAATGTGGTTGCCCCAAACTTGTTTCCCCCCCAGCTTGATAATTGCGGCAAGCCGAGGCCGAACAGAACGAGGGAAAATATTCCTGCCTTTACCGCATCAGGCGCGAGGTCGACGGAAGGAGCAAGGTTGCATCAGGGCATTAAGATCTATACTCATCGAACTCTATTCGAAGGAAACTGGTCTTCGACTGGTGTGGGGGCGTGCGAAGGGTCATCGTAATCACAGCTCGGCTCTCTTGGCACCCTGGCCTACAGCTGAGAACCCTGCCTGGTTGAACAAAGCCTGAGGGGGTGGGGGGACCCGGTATTGGTGATGAATCACCGTCTAACATTGTGTCAACAAGCCTGCAGCTCTCGTCTCGATCACATTCGCACTGAAACCGCTTGAATCGACGAGTGACTACACTATGCCAATCTGTCCAAAACCAACAGGCCCAGCTCTGAGCACAAAATCGCTTCTTCATGCTGATACTGCCTAGTGTGTAAATCCCAAAGACTGGAGCAGCAAAACGCCTCTCCATGAAAACCCATGCTCCTGATGCAATGAATGACTGACGCCGCGCACGTATTTAGACATTAGTCGCTCCATTGTATGTAAAAGTGTGTGCATGTAACCGAAAAGCACTCCTTTCTGGAGGAAACACCTCTGCCGGGAGATGCGTCCCTAAGGTAAGCGGGCGCTGCTTGGGAACGTGTGACAAGCCCTGCCGCAGGCCGGACCTCCGACACCACAGTGTCCCTCCCTATCCCATGGACATGTCCCTCTTACAGCATGTATGCGAAGCCCATGAAGAAGATTCCCAGCGTACCACTCATGGCGTACAATCTGGCCATCTCGAACGAGGGCGCCTTTGAGGCCCCGCTGGAAGACGACGAGGAGGCACTCGATCCAGACGGGCCATCAAAGACTTGGGTAGGATTTGCGGATGTCGAGCTCGCGGTCTGCGAGGTTGCAGTCGCCGTCGCGCTTGTCTCGTTGGCAGTGCTGGGGTTGCTGGCGCCACAGGGGTGGTCCTGCCTGCAAGCGCTCGCGCAGCTGCTGTCTGAGCCGCAAGCCTTCTCACACTGATTGCCCCACTCCGTGCAGACGAAATAGGGAAGAGTGAGGGAGTACTCAGACACGTTGGGCTGCGTGTTGTCACCGCAAAGACATCCGTATGTGAGCGTCTCCTGTGAGGAGCACATGCTTGTTAGGAACGTGCCTCAGTTGTTCACCTCAACTAGAGGGATGGACTCACCGGATCACAGGTGTTCACCTGGGCCCCTGTGTCCGACTGGTCCCGGCAAATGGACGGACATGTGCTGATTTCGGACTGGCACCAGCTCCCTGGTGGTAGAATATCAGTGACCTGGACCAATTTGGAAACATTTTTCAGCTGTGGCAGGTCCACTCACTTCTTGTGCTCAGCGGAACGCTGCTGGGTTCGATTCTGTAGTCTGCCTGAACGGTGGCGACCAAAGCAGTTGCTACCGCCAGAAAGGCTGTCCTGAATGAAGGCATGATGTACAAAGGACGTCTGAACGATTGGTACTGGATGACAATGACAATGACAATGATAATGTCGTATGCTGCCTGAAGGCTAGTTAGTTGTGCACGATGCTAGTCGGGGGTTTGGCAAATAGAGAAAATATTTGAGAAGTTGACAGAGTTCTGAAACTGCTCCGAGGGTCATGTCTGTGTCTGGTGGAATACTTACACTTCTGGGAAGGAGCAGAGGCAATGCAAACGACTCAAGCACCGATGTGAATAAGGACGTCGTACAGTGAGGTAGGTAATGGTCCAAGCGAGGCGGACACGGGGCAGGCTGGGTATTATGATTGATGAATCTTGAAGGGGGAAACAGCGAGTGTCAACCACCACAGTCCACAGAGATGTACGACTTTCCAAAAGAAGACGGGATATCAACGGGCAAGAGCTCTGGAGGAAGAAGCTCGGAGCCCGGGGCAGCGTCTTAAGAAGAAATCACACACGAGAAATAAAGGAGGCATTAGAGCTAGGGCCCCTGTCCTTGCAGGAAGACACAGCTGCTTCGGCTATGGAGAATGTGGAGCAACTTAGAGTTGAGCTCGACCTTATTTGAGTTAGGCTGGGCTTGAATCCCCGGGAGGTCTGGCGGCGGTGGTAGGGATCAGGTCTCACGGCGCTGGGACATCTGGAGGAAATCCGAACTTTCGACCGCCAACCGAATCAATTGGGCCCTTTGATTGGGCAGGGAGGTAGGTCAAGATTCAGTCTTCCGTCGGCACCCTGCAAAGAGACCGCTCGGGCAGGGGTCTGAGGTATCAATCCGAGCGGTATTCCCAAGGGATCGCCTCCGTGGTGGACCATCCGGGAAGGAAGGTCGGGACTGCGCACTAGACATTTGTTGAACTGCCGCCATCTCTGGTCGTCTCGAATTGATCATTTTCCTCAACCCAGACCGACTGGGCAGATCGAGGGACTCGTCGGTGGGGATGGTGCCACGGCGATCCTTGGCCTGCAGAGGATGGGCAGTGGAATGAGCCCGGTCGGCAGGGCAAACAATCCTCTCTGCTGCCCACAAGCTCGACGTTGCCTGTACTGTGCAAGCGTCAGCCTGCACAGAGCTTGCAAGCTTATCTCGAGCTGCCATCCATGCATGGTCATTTGGGTGGTTGGGGGGCCCAGAATAGAGTGCAGCGCCGTCCACCGCAACGTCGCTCATTTTGAGCGCACCTGTGCTCTGGGAGGCAATCTCCTTCCCTCCCTCTTTCTCTTGGGCTCCTTCGCAAGCTCGTTGCTCGGCACAGCCTAGCCAGAGCCGGCCATGTGCAAGCGAGGATTTTTGCCTCTGGTCTCACCCATCACGAGGCCGCCGCGGCTCTGTTGGCTTGGTAGTCAGACCTCAGAGGTGGCTGGAACTTCGTATTCAGCGAGTCACCTCGTCTGCTCGCCCGAGGACCCTTGAGTTCCACACCCGGCAGGCTTGGAAACACAGGCAGCTTCCTACAGGTGGGTGGCACTCGGCTCCTCAGATCGGGCGGGCCGTGCATTAGACTCACGCAGCTAGCATTCCCTGTGTCTCCAGATCCTCCGTGGCTCCGTGGCTGCGTGGCCAGCGTTGGGACAGCAGGTGACTCCGAATTTGTGGATTCCAGAAGATGCACTGCATGTCCGCAGCGCAGACAAGACCCTGCGGCTGTGGACGATAAAACATGCTGCCTGGCAACTGCCAGGATACCTGTCGTGTGAAGCCTAGCTATCCTAGCAGTACACACCATCTTGCATTTGTCGTTGCAGCTCGATTGTCCATACGGGCCGTTCATCCCGTTCTTGGTGCTGTGTGGAGATGCCTGCTCCTCCTTTGCCGGCCCTCGGCTGGAGTCAGGAGAGTCGCCGAAGAGTGAGCCGCATTGCGGAGCACTGGCCTAGGCCCCACGGACGATGTCCTGCGAAGGGGTTGTGTCAGGGGGTTCTGCAATAAGAGGGTTGTATTCAGTTTCTGGTTGTGGTTTTGTCTAAGTTTATGCTAAAGGGCTGAGGGGCCGAGGATTACCTATTAATGCCCATAAGGGGTTTATGCAATACTCCTTCCTTATAATCTGCCCCCTTTAAAAAATAACGGCGCCCTTATAGCTAATAAATAATTTTAAGAGGTGCATTTAATAAATTAATTATTTTATATTTTATTTTTTAAATAAAGTATTAAGCTTAAATTATTTTTATTTTCTTTATAGTTTTTATTTTTATTTTTTAAAGCATTAAAGTTATTTTAAAATTTATTTTATAATTTATTATATTTTTTATAATTAATTATTTTTATATTTTTACTTAATTTAAAGTTATTTATAAAAAGTTTTAATTTAAAAGTATATTTATTATTAAGTAATTTAATAATAATATTTATAATATTTTAAATAATAAAAAAAGCATTAAATTTATTTATAATTATTTTAATAAATAAAGTATAATAGCTGCTTTTTAAAATATTAATTTATTTATTTTTCTTAATTAATTAATTTTTTAAGTTAATAATATATATAATATTAAGATTAAGTTATATTTAAAGTAAATTTCATTAAATCTTTAATTTAATGTTTTTTAATTATAATTTTATAATTTAAGCTTATTATTTATTAACTTTAATAATAAATTTAATATTTTTTATCTTATATTACTAATACTTTTACTATTTTATTAAAAGTAAGGGCATTATTAATAAGGAATATAAATAAATATTAATATATTTTATTATAAGTAAAAAAAGTAATATAAATTAAAGAGTTATTATATTTTTAATTAAAAATATGGTAAATTATAAGAATATATTAAACTTTATCTTTTTTAAATTATATTATAAACTTGCTATAAGTATTATATTAAATTTTTTTAATTAATTTTTTTTAATAAATTATATTTTTTAATTTAAAATAATATATAAAGATATTAAAATCGCTATTAAAGAAGTAATTATTAAGAGAAAGTAGTTTTTTAAATAGGTTTTCTTTAATTTTATTATATATAAATTTAATAGCTTTAGCATTTTTATTAAAATTACTTTTACTTAAAAATTCTTTAAATTTAAATTAAAATTTAGCTTAAAAAGAAAAAGTATTATAATTTATTATATTAAATAAATATTATAAAGAATATAATAAAGTTAAAGCTTTTTTAATTAATTAATTTATCTTTATATTTATATAAAAAAGATATTAATTAAATTTTTTATTAATAATATTTTATAATTTATTATAAATATATATTTATTACTTATATTTCTTTTTTTTATACTTTTTAATAAATTATAAAAGCTTTTTATTATATTCTTACTTTTATATTAAGTAAATAAAAATAAAGAAATTTATAACCTTATTAAGTTTATTAATTTTAATATTATTAAAATTATAAATTATTTATAATATAATATATAAATTTTTTATAATAATTATTAAGTTAACTTAATTATTTTAATATATAATATTGTTAATGTTTTTAATTTAAAGCTTTAAATTTTAAAAAAGATTTGCGGCTTAGCGCTTTGCTTTAAATTTATATTATTTAAGTTTATTTTTAAATAGCTTTTTGCTCTTATTTCTTTCCGCTATTATTATTAGCAATAAGCTTAAATTACAAGGTTATTTTAAGTATATTGTTTATTAAATAAAGATAAATAGAAAAATAAAAAAGAGGAAAAAGTTTATAATTTTTAAGAAAGAATTAAAATTATGCTTTAAGTAATGCTATATTTATTTTATTTTTTTATTTAAAGTTTTTAAGTAAATATTATTATAAGTTATTATAATAATTATTAATAATAATTATTAATAATAATAATTATATTAAGTTTATAATAAATAGTTATTTATAAGCGAATTTATTAAGCAATAATTATATATTAAGTTTTAATTATAATAAAGTTATTTATTTTTAAAATTTAGGTTTTAATTTAATATATTTAATAAGACATTTTATATCCTTTAATTCTAAGTATTATTAATTAATTATACGCTTTATATAATCTTTAATTTAAATAGGTTTAATTTAAAATATATTTTAATTAAATAAATTTAAAGGGTATGGCTTAAGGTAATTAATAAAAACGACATTATGCTTTAACTTTTATATATATAAAAAGTTAAATTAATATATAAAACGGCCAATCCTTTCCATAACTTTAAAAGGGCTTGTATATTATAATCCGTATTTATAGCTAATGTTATAGGTTGGCCTTAAGCATCTGCTGAAAGGTACCCAAAAAGAATTATAAATTGCAATATCTAAGAAGTAAGTTAAGCCTTAAAAGGGTTTAACCCTGGATTTATCTTTTAAGTATATGCCCTATTATATAAAAGGGTTGGATGCAATATAAGCCCGGCATAAATATATATTATAGCTTAAGTAATAGCTTAAGCCTATTACATAGCCCCCTTTTCACTTTTATACTATGCATGGTAGGAATTAAACCTAAGGCTCTTGCAATTTTATATTAATTACATATTTATTATATATATAATCCTTTATTAATACATTGTAATTACACATAGGCTATATATATTAACCATGCTAAGGCCTATTTATACTTAATTAAAGAAATATAAGCTGTATATTTTAATTCCGCCTTATTAGCATTTATGTACCTTACAGCGTTATATCGCGCTAAGTTAGCGTTATGCCATAATATACGTTAAATGCAGTGTATATTAGCTATATACCTAGTTTATTGCCATTTACTTACCATGATAATTACAAGCCATTAATTTTTTAATCCTAATTCACATTATAATGTAATTATTTTATATTTAAGTTCCTCTTATGCTGTAATTGCAAAACATTATAACTTTCTTTTAATAACTTTATTATGTGGCTATAGTATTAATTGCTTATTATTGCCATGCATTTATATTGCCCTGCCTTGCCTTAATTATTATTATTAATTAAATATATTATTTTTATTATTGCCTTATTTTCTTTTTAGCTTATATTTAATGCATAGCCTTAATAACCTTGATAGAAATATTCTTATTAATTAGCAATACCCTTAC